GCGACATTGCCTGATTCAAAAACGCGTGAAAGGCGGGCAGCAAAGGGTTCAACGTCACATCTAGCTGGCATCGTTGGCATGCTTACAGGTTCTGGCGCCGTCGTTGCGTTGCTGGTTTTCCTGCCCCTTCCGGCGTGGTTTGAGAAATCAGGGCGGTCTCCTGCTCAATCAATCAAATTGAGCTACTACATAGTTGCTTTGCTCTCTCTTTCTGTTTCCGCAGTTTGTTTCATTGGCCTACGAAATCTACCTGATGATCAGTACACAGGATGGAAGTCACTATTCAGGGCCCCTAGAGCCCATACTTCAGATGGACCACAACCCACCACAGCAATGACGTCGAACTCACCTCTATCGTCATTATTTCCTAAATCATACCTATCACAATTCAGTGCATCATTCCTTCTCGGCTTTAAACAGCCGGGAATAGGGCTCGCATATTTGGGCGGATTTGTCGCCCGAGCCTCAACCGTTGGCATCTCCCTATTCATTCCTCTATATGTCAACCAACATTTCAGGCGCTCAGGTCTTTGTGATGAAAGCCACCCCAGTAACAAGAGCCACGTACTTGAAACCGACCTGGGTGAGATCAAACAGTCGTGTCCGAAAGCCTACATTGTTGCTTCAATATTGACGGGTGTTGCACAACTCATCGCCTTGTGCTTCGCACCAGTCTTTGGCTATTTCTCAGCAAAATCTAAACGACACAATGTCCCGCTCCTTTCCGCTGCTCTGACTGGAATTATTGGCTATATTTTCCTTACCCTCCTACCAGCTCCTCAGATATCTGGGCCGGGGGGAAGCCCAGTGATATTCGTCGCCATGGCCCTGGTCGGGATTAGCCAGATTGGGTCTATCGTCTGCAGCCTCGCAGGCCTCAGTACTCATGTTCTTGGACCGGACCATTACCAAGATACAGCATCGTGCCACCATGACTCGGATGGACGACGAACAAATGCAGCCGACTATGCTACCCTAGAGGACTGCCCAGGCGCCAGAGACAATTTTTCAGATGAGAGCGCCGCCCTTCTTCCAAAACCTATGTCATCAGCAGCAAACTCCAACAATCTGGTTCACCTCAAGGGTTCCGTTGCTGGAATGTATTCGCTGTATGGGGGGGCAGGTATTCTCCTCCTTACAAAAATTGGAGGTCTCCTCTCAGATAAAGTGTCTCCGAAGTCGCCATTCTACATCCTTGCCGGCTTCAATGGGCTTCTTTTAGTAGCTGGTGTAGTAATCAGCGTGCTGCAGAGGTGGAATTACGGGAAAGTTGTATAAGTTGCCTTTGTGTTATTTTATTTTATTTTATTTATTTATTATTTTATTTTATTTTTTTTTTTTGCCAGAAAGCGGGTACCCCCTTCCATCCTTGCCTGAATGAGTTCATTCTCCCCAACTTTTCTCTCGGCTAGGCAACGTATCTATTTGGGTTATAGGCCTGAGATAAAATAAAACCATGTGTATTTACACTTCAGTTTCCGGTGTTCGTTCCTCAGCTTCAACTGAGGGCTTCATTCCAACCGTTTCAGCAACGTGTAGTGTAGGAGAAGGGAGGTTACATGGAAAGAGCCTTCAGTCTACCTTAGACATGATAGGCAGGGATGTTAGGGATTCTATCGCCTGTGCACCGTAGCAGATGAAGATGTTTTCGAGCATAGAGACTTCAATTTACGGGGTAAACAGCAGATATGGAACACCATATCTAGGTTTTGGTTTCAGAAAGGTAAAGACACGAGAAGAGCGAGGAGGCAAGAATCAAACGGAACAAGAAATGACATGAAACCAAAAGTCAATGATGAAAGGAAGCAAGAAGGGTGGAAATTGCAAAGACTAGTTAACCTTACCAGCCGAAGTTATTGTGATCTATCGACTAAGCTATTGAATTGAAACGAGACACAACCAAGCAAAAGTTGGCCTGTTGTCTCTCAACATTTTATGAAGGGTGTCAAATGTATAACGGCAATGTGCAGGAAGGAAATTGATGTGAAACTGGTTATGAAACGCATTTTTATTCCTATGAACAGCTGAGCTGCTCTTGGTTCACAATATTTGGGTCAGTTGAAGGGTTTATTTTTGGGTCGGGAGCTGTAACTAGGTATGTAGATGTACATGTATGTCCGACGTTACTGTAAACCAGGCAATCAGATGCTCCCAGGAAGGGATTTGTATGAATATTTTGTGCGTTTCTGCAACGGGTATTTGTACATGTGCAGTGCATACACGTCAAAGAATGAAAAGCTTTTCATGTCATGCGAAGTAAATATATGTATGTATATGTACTGTACATTGATGTACCCGCGTAGACAAAGGTGAAGTGCGTATGCACAACTATTTTTTCGCAAAGAAACGCTCGAGCATAAACCCACAGGCTTGCAGTTTGGCACGTCCAGGAAGGCAGAGCTACAGAGAACAGGTGCATGATAAACAAAGGGGGGAGAAGGTAAGCTCCCATTGACGACCTCCCTAAAAACTGGACATGCCCGGATAGGCACAATAATAATAAAAGATAATTCATGATTGAAATGTGGTAAACTAGTTCCCTCGCTTAGCCCGGCAAAAAAATGCTTCCAGTACAAAAAATTTATAGTTGGGGTTCAAGAAAGAAGAAATGGCAATATTCTCCGAGCTACATTATAGTTCATGGTCCAGCCTTTCTGCCGTTTGATCTTGGCTCTTCATTCTGCGGCGGTTTCTTCACCCTCAGACAATCCCTAGCACGAAGCCATGCCTTCCATCTGCTCCTTCAATAGAAAAAGCAAAACGAGGCGTGGAAAAGGACCAGAAGAAAGGCGGGAAAGGAAGGTGTTCTCGAAGCACGGACGAAGGTCCTCCCCTCTCGGTTTTACCTTCTCGAAAGTTCTGCAGCTGCAGGTAGGGTTCCGGCGTCCATGTCCGTGCCTACAGCAATACGCTGTATATGTTGCGTCAAGAGCTGCATTGCAGCGTGCCTAAAGGCGGGCCCTAGCCGATCCTGATCTTGGATTATTCTTTTCTTTTCTTTTTATCCAGCCTCATCGTGTTATTGGCGGTCATGGGGGACAACAGTGTGGGATTGGCTCGGCAATTTGCAGCATATTGCACTAGCGTGATGTAAGGTTGTCAATTTTTCATCCCTTTCTTCCTGCTAGGCGTTTTAATTTCTGACCTATCAATAAACCTGCCATGCAGAGATCGTTAGATTTGTACGGGGACCCTATCGGGCTCTATCGTCCCAAGCTTTCCTGTTGCTCTGCAGGGACAAAAGGGTCAAATTTTAACCCCAACTTTCAAAAATATCACCAAAAGAGAGGGAAAAACAAGAAAAGTAAAGAAAAGAAAATTTTTAAAAATCAGAAAAACTACTAGATAAGGCAATGACTAATAGCTGAAACTCGTTTTATATTGCTGGACAACGAAAGAAGGGTGGGGTAATGGCCACGTTCAGGGCTGGTCCCCATGCATGACTATATTGAGAAAGGTGATAGGACCGGTGGTGATCAGGACGAGCGGGAAGAGCAGGAAGAGCACGGAGGCAATGAATGATCTAGATCATACAGGAACCGAAAGTTAAATATTCCCAAGCCTCTAAGCATCCGCTTTGCATAAAAAGGCAATCGGGAATAAAGAAGAAAAGAAAAAGAAAAGAAAAACGTGAGGCAACGGCGGCAGTCAATTAATCGGCACAGCCACAGATTGCCACGAGCAAACTTTGAGGTGGAAGCAGCCCTGGAAGCATTTGAAGGTAGCTAGCGCTCCTTAATGCTGCACTGGGACATACTCGGACACATGAAATAGCTGAAATAGAGTGTATTCTTCGACGACATAAGAGTTGAACATTCCAGTGCATTGCAGGTCCATGCCTGCAACATCTGCTGCTAAATGTTAGAGTGGTAAGTGTTTTCAAGAAATCCTTACAAGAATCCGCCTGCAAGGAAACCTGCGTTCGAAGAGGATTGGAGCCAAAACGTGGCTTTTCTCTCGACCATTGAGAGCATGGCGGGTGTGCAATGAAAGATGTGACAACACAATCGACAAGGCTTAGGGCGCTCAGATCGCAGGGCGCCAAGTTTGTCAGGAATGCAACCAGTCATATCATAGGAAGTCCCTACTTCACTCATGACATGCCAGATTATCATTGAAACTGAAGAACACGTTTGCGGCTTCTCCAAAACATAAGGAAAACATGACGTTAGCCTTCACTGATGCGTTAGATTCTAATAATAATGCAACCCGCAATGCGCGGAAGTTACACTCAAAGGAAAGCGGGAGGTTGCTAGAAACAGATGACAGCTAATGTTGACGTATCGAAGGGCATGTTCCTCGAAAATTCTAGAGTGTTGCCAGTTGCGATGGCTTGCAGTTAAGATCATCGAATACCAACAAAAGTTGGTGATAGGCATGCGCAAGGGACCGTTACCTTGGGCAATGCATGTAAGGAGCCTTCAACTATCAGTTTTTGGAATGGGAAAGCCTTTATTTTGGCGAGGAAATCGGGTAGATCCATACACATGTTGTTTGCTTCCCTAACCAATTTTAAAAGCAATATTAAGCTCTATTGCAACCCGGGGAATGTTGGACCAGTGATTATGGACACTCAACGGCTTTCCACGCTTCGAATATTGGTCCATGCCGTCTCAGCTGCAAGTGCCACATACCACAACAAGGGAGGTTGCGAGGAAAGTTTTATCGGTGAAAATAGTTGTAAATTCTCCGCGATGGACTTCATAAATCCGAAATAATTTAACGAAGTCACCATCACCTAGAAAACTAAAATATATTTCTCAAATTCATTATCTTTGCTAAATTTTCACAGCACTTGGATATTGATTTCGGTGTTTCATTCTGGGAACTAAGAGTCAAACACAGCTTGAATCGAACGTAAACGAAGGAGGTAGTCTTCGGTGCTTCCAGGTAAGCTTCTATTGTACATCGAACATTTCATATTCAAACGCAGCTGAATGCCTAACGTGTCAATATTAGAATATTTCCACTGGAGGGAGTGCTCAGAATTCGTACCCGTAGCTCGCTAGAATCCCTATTATAAAATTTTAGCTAGCTTCACATCAATTTCTCGAAAATCTCGAAGATTCGCGTTGGTCCATCCAACAAAGAAGCATTACAACAACTGCCCGAGTTGACTCTGTTCAAATTCTTCTAGTCCTCTCTGGTAGAGGACAGGAGTTTCATCGGCTTGCACCATATCGTTCCAGGTGGCTTGGCGCTGGAGAGCATAGCAATCTCCTCCCAACAGCTGTTGTGGAGATATGGCTTTGTCCCGGCGACGGGCCCATCGAGATATATCCATTGCTCACGACCAACTCCCTATACCTAGAAGATCTGCGACATCAAACTTTTCGGCGACACAAAGCGCGTGGTGCGGAAAAGTTGTTTCACAAGATCTCGAGCCGCAAGCAAACTATGGCCATCCCGAGCAATTTTTTAACCCGAGTGGCAAATTTGAAACTTTGAATTCAAGTTATGCGATATCCACCAACGTCAGATTCACCGAAAGTAAATATGATGACAGAGACTCCGTTAGGCTGCAGACACAACAACGACACAGAGGCCCTCAAAATGTTGAATTTCGTTTTGATAGCCTCCCGGGACCAAACATCACAACCGATACGAACACTGGATGGGCGAGCCTAGCGGGATCTGGGCCAGTCAGCGAACCCGCCCCGGCTTTCTCTGCAACGGTACCGCGTAACGGCCAGAGACAGAGTAATTCGACAGTGCCAACGGTACCGCAACCCCTAATTCGATCCAACCTTGGATGTACTCCGTCCGGTTCGATCTACCCTGCTATGGAGACTCCTGGAGGGCAGCATTATATCCCAAGGGTACAGACCCAAATACATGAGTTCAAAAACTGCAACAGTAGTTGGGAAGGGGATAGGAAGGATGAGAACATGTCTGCGGATGGTGGGTCTCATCAACATGGATACATCTACCCAGGATGGGCCGAGCCCATGACTAGAATGCCATATATGCCCATATCACGCACCTCGGATACAAACACCGAATCAGCATATCCTACCACCATTGAATGTCTAGAACAAACGGGCAACAGAGGATATGTCCCAGATTTCACAGCAGAAACAACAAACGGGTGGTGGCATGGAGCGCAAAACTTTATCCAACAACCGCAACGATGGTCTAATGGGGTAAACAAAGATTTCTCTGCGTCGTTGATCACCCAGACCAGTCTGCCAATCGCACAGAGTGACTGGAATGAGCTGCACACAACCCCTCTAGGCAACCAATGCAGCCCAGAATCTTCGTTCTCTTCATGCTTTACTCCAGACACACTTCACGAGCCGGTAAATTTCGATTCTCTAAGTTTCCACGATATGAACATGGCGATGGAATATTTTGATCAAAATCCCGGACGTGAAAGGCTCACCGAATGGCAAGGCCATTTGACAGGCGATGAGCCCTTTGAGCCAAACGAGATCCCAGCCATAAAGCAACCAGGGAGGCCCCGAAAGATGAAGCGATGTGAGGCCCAGAGAACAGCAAGCATCGGCACCCAGCGTGCCAGTGAAAAAGATGAATTTCTGATCCAGTGCAAACGCGCAGGAATGCCGTATAAGGAAATTAAAGAAAAGGGAAACTTCTTCGAGGCAGAGTCAACGCTAAGAGGACGGTTTAGAACACTAACTAAGCGAAAAGAGCAGCGGGTAAGGAAGCCAGGATGGCAGGAAAAGGATGTGAGTAAATTGTTCTGTCGATATGTATTTCCCAATGTACGATTCCACTAACAAGGATATGTTCCTGATGACAGGTGCGACTGCTTTGTGAAGCCGTGCGGAAATACGCTAATCCGATACAAGATGGCGTAGGAGAGGACATCAAGGATCCTAAAATATCATGGAAGCAAGTGGGGGAATATATCTCGAAAAACGGCGGCTCGTACCATTTCGGCAATGCCACGTGTAAGAAGAAATGGTCACAGATCCAACAAGATATTATAACACTACGGCCAGAACATCAGTTCGGTTGATCGCAGAACAGAAGTTATATCTGGGGAGGAGAAAGCCGTATACGCACCGTAATAAATACCTTAATATATCCATTTATATATAATCGAGTAAATAAATTTCATCTTAATTAGCATTAAATGTAGGCTGAGCCTATAGTAGCCTCGTTATTTCGTTTCCCGGTAACAGCGGTCAAATATAATAGCTGTTCATAATCCCAATAGATTGGTATTAAATAGCGGTTCAATTTGTCTTCAATTTGTAGTCTGTTGAAATTCGGTATAATAGCGTATGTCAGTCGCATACAGAACGCATTCGGAGAGCCTTCTATGCATGTGTCAACACCTAGACACAAATGGATCTGGAAACCCAATTGCTTCCAACACAGATTCCAAGGAATCAGGCTGATCTCTCAGCACATCCCATTCAACGGCTGCTTTCACCATCAATGTCCCCGCTAAAATAGTCCCGTTGAGTTTAACCAGACCTGCTTCTAGGGTTTCGTTTCGATGTTTAGGGTCTATTGGTAGGCATGTAAACTCGCTCTTTCGAGGGCATATCATCATTCGAGATGTAGTCATGGCTAAATTATAGCTAATAGCAGCCGGTCCGTCGGTTTTCAAATTCATCGGATCCACGGCATTTAATTGAGAGACCGGGGACTGTTGCGCAACCTTCACAGCCATCCTGTATAATTGCAGGTATAAATTATGTAGCTCTTCCGCGGATGGCTCTGCTGGTAGATTGACAGCATAGCAGGCAAATGGCAAGCCAAAAGAGCTCGGATGATCGAAGTTCTTAGCTGCGGAGGAAGAATTTCCATCAATTAATGGCTTCCACGTTTCATCATTGGGCTGGGCTATTCTTTCCACAGGTAAAAACTGTATATGCCTGTGGGGTTGACTAGCACCACTGTGTTCCCCGGAGTTGAAAAATGCAAATAGGCGTTTCGATCCGGGTGGACCTTCATGCTTCTGCCATGCTTTTAGGCATTGAAATGTTGCTTGGAGGTCTTCTTTCTCGAGCAGATCGGACTGCGGCTTATAACCTTTGGTCGCAAGTATAAAGTGATCCGAGATAACGGGGAATTTATTCAGAACCAATATGTAGGACGGATCAGGCTGTGGAAACTGAGCAATGAGAAGATCTTCCGGGGGGTCGTGGAATGGATCTCGCTTTATGTCGGACGGTATATGTTCAAGTGCTTGGGGTGGGTTATTGATCGGCTTTTTTGCGAGAGCGGGACAGTATCTAAGTTGGAACTGGTATGATACCGAGGATTAATGAGCTTGCCAAAGACCTAGAATGTACATCAATCGGGAAACCAATCTGGAAAGGGTACAATGGCTTACTGGTGTATTTGAGGCCGATATTGTCGTGACCTCTGTCTGTGAGACAACAAGAGCCCCAGACTGCTTGGCCGCAGTGAACCGTCTCGCGACGAGCGCTGAGAGGTTCTCTGTGATTCCAGATAGCATGTCGTGCATTGATGGGGAACACGTACTAATGCTACGGACAGTGCAATCTTGATACGTGCTAATGGTGTTCAGATAAATGAAGCTATCGAGTCGTGTTATTTGCAGAAGACGCGGCTCCGAGATTGAGGTCGCGAGTTCTTGGCGCAAATCGACAACCAACAGAATCAGGGACTGCACAACATGGCCAACTACACCTACAATCTCCATTGTTGATTAATCGCATATCTTTATTTCTTGTTTCCAAGAGAGAGAGGACAGTTGTATTCATAATCCTCATTAAACCATGCTTTTATTCAATCACCTCTATGCAGTTAGCAACGCCAATATTCGGGTGTCCAACAGCTTTCAAAGATATAAATCACGGACGGAGTCAGTAATTGCCTAAAGTCAACCCTGCAGGAACCATTTCCCTCTCCTATTAATTCAGCGGGATAAAGTGAAAGATAATGTTCAATTTGATTCCCAGTGTTGGTAGACCCACATACCCCCAAAATCAGTTACTTGCTGCTAATAGGTCTCTAGGCAATTCAACAGTGCAAGCAATTCAGCAATTCAGTAGACACCCGCCTCTACTCTACGCATACTTAATGGTATCATAGAAAACGATGATGTCTATCGATGCTCATCGATCATATCATGAGACAGTCAATATCCCCCGGAAGGAGCACCATACTGTTTCTATTTTTAGAGGGCGGTTGTTAATAGCAACGGTGATCATCAGCATGCTATGCACAGTTAAGAGGCTTAGCATCGACGCTTATGAGAATGACCCTTATGCTATGGGGCAGGTCGTTTTATCCCTTCTGATGTTCACAGTATATCAATGATAAGGACATGGTAGAAACCATTCCAAATTCTGCCTCTGGTTGGAGGATTACCCAAAGGATCAGCCCTATGGTTAGCACATTACCAATCGACTTTCAACCATCAGGCCGCATTGCCGCATCCAGAAATAGACTCTAACTAATTTTCCTTCAGATCGTCACCGTTTGCAAGGCGGGGAAATACAGGCCATTGTCTTTTAAGCTTGGGCAGTCCAAATACTCTGACGCTAGGCCATGCAAGCGCAGGATACCGAGCAAATCTAAGCCATACCGTTGTTATCAGCCGGCTCTCGTGCTCGGCACGTCGCTCCAGAGCGCTATCGTGTCCAGAAAAGGGGCTCTCCTTAGAAATCACATCTTCATTCTTCTTTGAGCTGCCCGTCGTTGGCCTTCACCATGCCAGGGACTCACCATGTCATCTACGTCCAGGTATTGCAGAAAATATGCATAGCAAGCACTGACATCTGGACTGCTGATCACAAAAATCTCCGCAACTTCCCAATTCGGCCGCGATTTAATTAGACAGTACGGAACGGAAATCAAACTATCGGATTAAATGCCCCTTCTTGTCTCTCTTGCCCGGAAAGAAATAAGCACTTGGTATAGTTTGACCTTTATCATACGGATTGAACAACCCATGGTCCACGGCCCATGGCCTAGCCATCCAGCTAATTTCAACCCCAGCGTCCAAATCGCGGACAGAGCATCTTAACTGAACCGATGATCGCCTACTATTTTTTTTGTTGAGAAACCTGTGGTGACCTTTCAACCTGTAAGCCATGCGAAATTTCATCCATGAGACATCGGGTCCGTTCGTCGTCGCACATACAGGGCGCATTTACGCGCATACTCCCTCTAGCCGGCCCCAATGTTAGCCCTACTGCATCCCTGAGATTTTCGCTAGTGTTCTGTCTCTATTTGGGCCTCGTCTCACCTTTTCCACTTGCCGCCGGTGATGAAGCCCCTAAAACCCCTCCCCGGGCCCCCAAACCTCACCTGGCTGCACCAGTGTCAACCTCCTTGTTGAAGTAACCGAGCGCCCCGGGGGAACTGTCATACCGTTAAGCCCTAGGATCGTGCGACGGATGGAGTTTCTTTCCGGCAAATACCCGCACCAGAATTACTCCCACACCCCTCCGCTGCAGAGGTATATTGCATCACAAGTAGACCTGATTCTCTTATTCTCTGGCTCGCTTCTTCTCAATCATCATTGAATAAGCCCCTTCCATCCATACCCCTCTGGAGCGATGATGCCTCGGAAAGTTCCTGAGTGCAACCTGTTTATGATCGCTTGTACACCCCGAGTGATGGAAGGCATTTCCTTCAACTCCCCCAGTCACAGGACCAACACGAAACCAGCACCTTTTGTTGCCAAATTTCCTTCGAGGAAACCAGACTCTCGAAAACGAGGCATGGCATTCCTAGCATATTGGTCTAGAAAAAGTGCCAGATCTCTATTTCCCAATCCAGAAATCTACAAATATCAATACAGCCCAAACCGAAATTCTGGGAAACAAAGATTATCCCGTCATATGCTCACTGATAGGTTCAGTACAATATTCTTAAACCTTCACAGCACAGGGGGATTGTGACCATTAGGAGCTGAAAGATGAGGGCTCACTCACTTGGAAAGCACCAAACGCTAATTCCTCGTTTCAGTTCACCCGTTCCGAGAATAGGGTACGTACTGGATACCATGGGCGTGCTTCCCAGATTCCTTGATCTTGTTTTCTTCAGGAGGGTGATCTGCTGAGCCCGTTTACCATTCATTGTTCGTCATCGCCGCTTCGATCGACCCCTCGACCCCTTGTTGCTACCGTCGAGTCTTGCAACTTGATTTGTCTCTAGGGTCCTTTCTTGTGGCTGCTATGTGGATTGGCAAGGCAGACAGGCAATGGAGATCCTCAAAATTGCCTACGAAGAATTTATTTTCTGCCGTGTTCGTTCGTTGCAAGGTCTTGCGATCTATGCGGCTGAAAATGGGTTGCTGTACGTTACCGCGTATCCTTGATTAGGGCCTAATTGGAATGTACTGTACATACATGCACAGTACAAAATGCTTTGCAAATTTCTTCGGAGAAGCCCGAATGGGCGGGCAGGCCGATGATGACGGGAAACCGACGGACGGCAAACAACATTAAGCCACAGTCGGGTTCGGAAGTTGCTATCCACACAAGTTCGCGATGGGATTAACTTATTACTTTGCATTTCTTGAGTCATCTTTGCCATCCTTTCAATGAGAACTACTGTACTTTACAATGAAGTCGCTTCATTGCAAAAAGAAACAATGCAAATCTCAAACTCGCCAAAACTAATCTGTAAACGAAGGGAGAGATACCCCCAGAACCGCGTTTCCGGGCCTTTTTCCCAACCTCCTTCCTTTCCCTTTCGCGCAAAACACATGTCAACACTTCACCAAGACTACAAAAGGGGCCAAGATAGATAACCATTATATGCATGTATGTAACGCCTAGCCAAACGCCAACGCGTACCGGTGCCCGTATCATCCGTACCATCATCATGGAGGCCATGCAATACCGTTGGTATGATGTATATATGTGTATATATGTATATCCAGCAGAAAACGGCGGGGCTCTATTCCTGTTATTTTTGAGTGTACACCTATTTACTACATTACATGTACGGTACTTCCCGCACACATTCATTTCTTAGTATTAGTATGTATATAGTGAGTCTTTCAAACTACGGGATGGATTCCAACGTGACACTCTCGGCCCATTTGACGTCCAGCCCTAAAGGGGGGAGATGGGGGGGAGGAAATGATGTGCAAGGGTTTGCCCGGTTATGCAAGATGCAAAATGATGCAAGCATACATACATACATACATGCATGAATGGCAGTGTGTGTGTGTGTGTGTGGGTTGGGGTGAGTGTTGGTGGTGGTGCAGACCGGCAAGCAAAACGGCAGACCGCAAGATCAAGCGGGCAGCGGGGAGCTCTATATGGTGATTCGGAGGTGAGTCGGTTTCAACAGTGAAGGGGAGAGGTCAGATCCCCGATCCCAGAAGTGGCGGTGTTTCTTTTTTGAAGTTATCTGGTTGGCTGGCAAGACTCGGCGGGTTCGGCGGGTTCGGCTTTGAATTTACAGTTCCATTGGAAGAAGTGATAGAACAATTGTCTAGATCAACGTTGTCCTATGATAACCTATGATGATTGCCAGGCCAGGGCTAATAATGAAGAAAGGTATTCGTAGAAGAACTGGATGAAAAACATTGGACGGTTGCTACACCGAACCGATGTTTTCCTCACCGTCATTTCCTCCCCACAACAACAGCAGCACCAGCAGCAAACAAGCGGCGTGACAATGTCATTGTAAAGCGTGCATATTGCATATGCAATATCTAACAGTAAGATTCATAAACGGCATTATTGATTACTGTCTCCGCTCTTCTTCGTCTCGTTCTTCGCCTTTTTCGGGCGCACAACAACAGTGCATTCATTGATCGCATAACTTTATCCCAACAAACTGTAGTTAACTAAGCACAAAATATTAAATAATAAATGCACCCCGCTCCAAGCAATCATTCCGCAGATCAAAACACCGCAGTTCGAGTTAAATAGTTGTTAACTTACATAGTTTACCCCGACAACAACACCGCCCAACTTCGGCGAAGTTGTCAAAAAGTCTTTTCTAGAATAGAGGGCTTTGTCATTACAACCAGACGTGTCCACCTCTTTCCTTTTCGTTCCTTATGGCTAACTGGTTGGAGTTTATTATTCGTAAGTAGTACTCTGTAGTAGTTATACCTAGGTAAGATTTATTTATTTATTTATTTATTTTTTTTAAAAAAAGGGTCCATTGACATCTAACTAACTACGACTACGGAGCACGCTGCACCGAACCTCGCTGGAACTAACAAAAAAACACAATTGCAATTCAACCACGGAAGTCTTCCGCTGCTGGTGAATAATCAATAATCAAAAAAAAAAAAAAAAAAAAAAAAAAAAAGGGAAGAAGGGAAGAAGCTAACCTTTGATCCCAATCCCAGCGCTCGCTTCCCGCGAATCCTGCCCGGCGCGATGGATCGCGACATCAAACGCTGGTTTGAACCTTTTTTTCTTCAGTCATCGTCGAAAACTGAACTACGGAGCAGTTACGCAGTTAGTTTTACCCAACCATCGCATCGGGCTTGGGTTCGAGCAGGGGATAGATTCATCATCTCCAGAGTAGTAGCTCCATCGGCCTTCTGTCTACTTACGGTCCCAGGGCCGGTTAGGTCGGGCGGCAGACGTTCGTTCTCAAGAAGGATTTTTAGTTCTATAACGGAACATGTAGTTACAGCGTTATGTATGTACGTTAAAAGTCTCCTTTTCACACTACTCCGTACAATATGATGAAATAGAAAGTCTTGAGTATCAATCGCCCCTTTACACGCCCCTTTTCCGCGTCATCGCTAGGAGTGTCCTCTCAACACTTTCTAGGGGGGAATCCCCCCGGCCCCCAACATCTCTACAGAATTAGATTAATAAACAAGGCGGTGCGTGTGTGGGCAGGTTTGGCAGGCTCCATCCGCAGCGCTTTATTATTAGCCGGCACGTTTCACAACGGTCAGGGAGGAATATGGCTATCAGAAGCCCGGATTAATAGGAACCTCTCGTGAGCGTTCTTCCCATGTTCGAACCCTCCCCCCCCCCCAACAGATTCCCCGAGCCAATAATAATAATGAGATGTTTGAGAGAGAGAGAGAGGGGGGGGGGAACAAGAAGCACGCGCGTTTTACTATCTACATAATATAGCATAGGTAGTTACGGAGTATGTAAGAGGGAATTAAGCGCGGAAGAAGGACTAACTTCGGCACGCCGGCGGCCACACATCACAACCACTCTGCCGCATAAAAAGGCGGGAGAACGTAGGTGAAGAAAATCGTAATTGATTCCTTCGTCTCATCATCCCATTTTGATTGACCGAGAGCTCCTATCTATCTTCACAGAAAATGAAGGAAGAGCCAGTTACATAGTTAAGCGAGGTTTCTGCCAATGGTGAAGATTGTTGATGCTGGACTTCTACTAGTAAGGATATATTTCTCCGACAAATTCCCCCCACCCGGCCCCTTCCAAGGTTCTTCTTCTTATCCATTTTTCGTGGGTTAATATAGTAATAGTTAAAAAGTAAAATGAAATTGGCAAAAGCTAGATTCGGGGGAAATAAATAAATTACAATAGAAAATAAAAAATAAAATAACAATAAGCCGGCGTGAATAATGGCAAGGCAGTTACATGTACTGTACAATGTGCAAATAATAAATGTCCGCCGGTAAGGTTACGTAGCCCTATGGGTAGTTAACTAAGGGGTACGTGCATAGGGCTGAGCCAGCCAAGAAGAAAAAACGAACCCCCAACCTTCTTCCATGTTGGATTGAATGCAAAAGGGCGGAATCCTGCAGCGGACAAAGGCGACATACATGTGCTCTCTTCTTCTTCTTCTTCTTCTTCTTCTTCTTCTTCTTCTTCTTCTTATTATTATTATTATGTATGACGCAGGTCTAACAGCCAGCTACAGCCACTGTTGAACCATAATTAATTTTTGACGGATGGGCTTTTTTGATATGAAACTCTTTGATGTAACGCTACCTTTTCTATTTATTTATTTTCTATTTATTTTATTTTATTTTTTGAATTATTTTTGTCTGCTATTTTGTCCCTTGGGATGGAGGTGTCAAAACAACACAACACGAAATTATTAAGAACTATCAAATGTAGAGGACGGCTTGCACAATTGATGACGACCAACATTGCATGCACGATGCCAAAGAAAAGGAGGAGGGGAGGGGGAGGGATGCGCTCTATGAGTGCATGGTTATTTAGTAGTAATTCACATGAAGAAGCAAGCCCCTAATCAGCCCTATGATCATTTGAAAAGAGCCGCGAAGGATTGAAAAGACCAGACCTCAGTTCCGCGTATGGATAGCAGAATAACCTGAAGGATCACAGGCTGGCTAGGCTAAGTTAAAAAAAAGGCGTTGAGAAATGAAAGGAGAGATAACTTGGGAGATCAAAGAAGGCGTTTTGTTGAAACAAGGTCGATAGAATCCCCGGAGCATGAGCCTGCCTGGCATTGTCTGTCAGCATTGTTGGTGTTGACCGAAAAGGAGGGACGCTCGCTGTTTTAGACAATCTCTCATCTCATCTCTCTTGTCTCCCAGGGGTGGCTTCGTGTTTTTATTTCCCGTGCACAGGAAACTATTGTTATTAGTGTCAACCCAAGAATGACTTTTTTTTTTTTTTTTTTTTTTTTTGGCCCGCTTCATACATAATAATCTACACATACTAGTACGAGATGGTCGACCCGGAGCGGCCGATAGAATCCCGCACTAGGGGCGCCACGCCATGCCACGAACTCCAACAGGCCCCAGCCCATTTCATGGAAAACAAACCTTGGGAGATCGTCTCCTCCCCCAAGCCCTCAAGGGGTGCCAAGGTGCCACCCTTCCTTAGGCCGGACTAGAATTCTTTTTGAATGATGCACCAAGCCAACCAGGCCAACCAGGAGCTCTCCCTAGGCCAAGAAACCATCAAGATCCCCGTCGTCGGTGGTTCGGAGGGGGGAACTACAACCCTTGCACGGTGCCCTTGTTGCTTGTTGCTAACTATTATTAATGCTAAGTTGCTCGCCCGGAAGAATAATCCGTCTGGCAGGTTCCACTCTGATCGTTGTCTGTTTGTCTGTTGTCTTGTTAGTAATAATGTTACTGTACATTACATACAGTACATACACAGCGTAGTTGCTTGGGCTTGGCGCAGGGATTAGGGTTACTTTCCCAATTCGATAGGGCGAGGGAGCGGTCAGGCGGCTGCGGCCAATCAGCGCGAACCCGGCCTCACCAAAACAGCTGCGACGCTAAACCGGATCGGGGTGCGGACAGGGGGGTTCAGGGTGAAAAGGCGGGAAACGGGAAAGGGGAAAGGGGAAAGGGGAAAGGGAAATTTCAACTTCCTTCCACGTCGAAGAAGAAACTGACTCGGACGATAAGTTATGCGCATGTTTGTTTGTTGTTGTCGTGGGAGGGTCCTGGAGCCTGTCGTCGATTCTAACGAACTATGATGATGATGTCCAACCTTGAGATCCACCCGGCTGGTTAAGGGGGGTTATTCATAATTATGAAAAAGTCAAAAGCCGAGAACAAGCATCAACAAACAGGATACACCAACCACCCGTCACATGTTGATATGGTCTTGGAAGTAAGCACCAGGCACACCACTCCACTGCAGGGCGTTCGTTCTCCTCTCCCACTCCCACTCCCAATCCCCCCCCCCCCCCTTTGGCGTGTATGGATGCATGCATGCTCTCTTCGCTTCGCTCGCATGCAAAATCCCCACACGGGAGCGCCGAACCATTGGGGCCACTTTGCGATAGACAAGAGTCCCCCGGTCAATAATCCTCTGTCTATGATACAGAACCAGCAATAATAATCATAACAATAATGATGATTTTGGAAAAAACCGAACGCTGTACGTAGCAGGTCACAGGCCGGTCGAAGCAGGTTGATCACTTCAACTTCTTTCTCTGCCAGCATTCATCGGTATTCGCCAATTACAAATGCTATAGGAAAATTACCGACCGACCAGGAGATCTGGATCCAGTTAGATATTATTGAAGATCGTGAGCCTTTTATTGGAGCCACTATTATTTATAATTCTTATCGCTGCACGCGACACAAATGGAACACGTCTCGGAATTTTTAGTATTGAGCCTTGGCGGGAATAAGCCAATGGGATGCGTTGGTGAACTTGAGCCTCAGGGATTTGTTGTCCAGAAGTTGGAGGTGGCGATATTGTATTCTATTATTTTATTTTTCATACAGAGGAACAAGACAATCAAATAACGTTGGTGATAAGCATGAATCCCGATTTAACCTATTGTGGGGCATTGCTTTCTGTCAACGTTCTCGCGTCGCTGTCGTGGTCGCTAATTAATATGTCTCCTAGAAATGATCCACATGCGAAATATTTGTAATTTTCTTAATATTTGATCATATTTTCTCTAGCAAAAGTCAACAATAATCCTTCAGGTTCTTTATTTAATAATTATTATTCAAGGCCATTCTCTTTTTCTCTTTGCCCACTACCACGACTACACACTACCACTTCCAATTGATACTTGCCAGCAACGTTCACTGACGTTTACCCAACAGACCCGTATCTTGGGTTAGCTCACGGAAGCGATCTCGATTAGGCGCATGCCCGTACCTTTTGAGGCTGCTATTTTAAGGTATCTACTGTGTAGGTACGATCCTAAACCTTAAAAAAACATGAAATGGTAAAATATAAATTACGAATGTCTGAATTTCATTTTGCAAAAAAAAAAAAAAAAAAAAAAAAAAAAAAAAAAAACCAAGTATTTCCCACCTCTCGTATAAAAAAAGCCCCAGCCACACATGGCGTAAAATAGCGTAGTTACAAGCCATAATCCCGTAAAGACATTAGATTCCATTCCACGCGGATTGGCCAGAACTGGGGAATGAAAATCATTATTTCAAAAGGAACCATCGATCAGAGAGCACGAACCTCAGTAAAAAACCTGTAAAAAGTGCCTCCGGAAACCATTTTCGTCCTAGCAGCTCTGGTGTGATCTGCAGAGGAAACGGTTTTGAGTGGTGGTGATTTTTTTGATAGATTCTATCCCCAATACACCTACCTACCTATAACACTTTAAGGAAAGGATGGATGGTTATAAATCGTCCACGAGCTTCCTGCATACCACGGGGTATTGTATATACTCAATTTGGCTAACGTATGTAGTTATGCTTTGTAGGACAAAAAAATAAAATAAATAAAATAAAAATAAAAAGAAGGCTCGTAGAAATGATTCAAATAATCCATCCATTAATCAAACACTATCAAAATAGAACTAGAGCCCAGGGTAGGGGCGGCCGGCCATCTATCCATCCAGTTCATCATGCTCATAGATACAAACCCTCATTCGCTCGCGAGAAACGATGATAGAATTATTATTGCATATTGACTCCCCCCCCCCCCCCCCCGGGCCCCCATCTCATTTACATTGCCACGTTTTCCATGGTCTCACCGCAGAGAGCCGGATTATTCCTTTTTCCAACCATCACTCGCTTCCCACCGGCGGGCGAAATCTGAAATCTGGTAGTGAGTCCTGTAGTGTAGTTACAACGTCCGTCCGCAGAGAAGGGGGGAAGGAAGAAGGTGGTATTTGCTATTATGCTTTGGGCTTTGGGCATATGTAGGGGGGTCGACCGAGACTGAACTGTTAGTTACGCTTTAAGCCAACAAGAAGATCTCATTTGATGTTCTGTTTTTCGTTTTGCGGGCATTGGGGCGAGTTTATTTTTCTATTTTTATATTTTGGGGGCAACTTTAGCGTTACTTCGTCTGCCGTCCGTTCAGAGGGCATCTCATCTCATTGGCTTCAATATTGCTAATCCAGGCTGCATATAGGCCCAAATAAACACAGCCCAGACAAGAGAATAGTTATAATTATTCTTGTTTTGGTTTGTTTTTAGAGCGGGTTTCCTTGTGATGTTCCCCTCCTCTTGACTACATGCTTTGGAGATATGTAGATAGGTACTGTATGTTATTTATCCCTCATTCACTTAATCACAATCTTAAAAAGCACCTATCTGGTTACGTCCGTAAGGAAGAGTTTTCGGTTCGTCCGTCAGCAAGCGGAAGAAGGTGTCGGGGGAGGAGAAGACGGGAGGTGAAGGGTCTTGGCTCTTTTCCTTCCCCAGATTTCCGACAATATTTTGCCAAGAGGAAACTAATTATCAGTCATGTAATCTGTAATGTGTCGGAAGAAAAGGGAGACCATCTTTGAGTAATAATAATAGAAGGATGCAAGCTAGAAAGGAAGAAAGAAAAGGTAACTTACAGTTGGTTGGTTTGGTTGGTTGCACTGCATCCAGGATAATTATATTACTCCCACATGGCGGCGCGGGGAAGTACAGCATTCGTTCTGACTATCATCGCCATTATCACTCGTATTTTGTTTTGACGGTTTACCTGAAGCGTTTTCCATTTTTCTGCTTCTCGGATCACAGGATTCGAGTTGACTCATTGGTATTCCCTATTTTGTAACTTTTCCATGTTGTGTCAAGATTTAATAATAATAATGAACTCTTGAGATCAAGCATGGTTGATTTCAGATGAACCTTTTCGTTATAATCATTGGAAATATTCTCTGATACCGTAAGTTACATACAATATTTGCATGAAACCCCGAGAAGAAATCAGGAAATACTCCTGTGCAAACATTGGGTAACTAGTTGTGCTGAACAGATTCAAATGAGAGGATATTAATAGCAGCGCAACCTTTCAGAAATCTCTAAAATAATACAGTTAACAACATTGGAACCCATTCCTGCAAGGGGGAGACGGGGATGCAATCAGGATCTATCTATCCACCAAGAACCAAACAATCAAACACACTGGCTTCACCCACGCAGGTTTCTCTAAACGGGTCAATCTCGGCAATCTCAGTTTTCAGGAATGTAGTATACGGCGGCTCCATTTCCACACAAGGGGATAAATGCCAGGCAGACGAAGGAATGATGGAAAGGAGGGGGAGGAGAGGGAGGGCTTCGGCGTGTGGCGATTTGAAGGTGATACGCAACTTCGTGTGTTTCAAGCTAAATAAAGAACGAGCTACGTTTTATATTTATTATTCATTTCCCGGATCTTTCCTCGTATATTTAATAATGCACGCCGGAAACTCATAGGGTACATTACATAGACGACAGACATCATAGAACAGGAGGACGGCGACAACTTCTCAAACAATAATAATGAATGATTCTTTGAAGCTCCGAGAGTCCCTCCGGCTCCAGATATGTAAGAGCGAATGCACCAAATCGACCGATCAATCGAGGCCCCTCTAATTTTACCCCCGGTTCATGCGATATGCTTTGTGCTCGTGGCGTGTTGTATCACCTTAATGTTGGTTATCGAGTGTAGGGGTTTGGGGTGGGACGGGAGAGAAAAGAGGAGAGGGGTAGAGAAAGAGAGACAAGAAAAACGTGGTTCTTGATAGGGCGGGAATGCATGATTCGCCATGTGTTTCTTGTTGTTGGAAATGTTGCATTCGCATAGGGTTTTGTGTTACACACCTCTTTTTTTTTTTTTTTTACGGCGGCGTAGTTTTGATTCTTTTTTTTGGGGTTTTTTTTTCCCCCCTTTTTGGAATTTCTAATTTTATTCCTTCTCATACGGAAGCATAGAGAAGACAAGAGAGGGGTGGCCCCAAGCCAATATGATTTAGACTATTTCTGCCGAGAATGCACTTTTGCTTTGTTACACCAGAACCTCAGAAATACACATGGCAAATGACTGATGACCATTGTCATGGCATCACATAGCATAGCACAGCATAGCACAGCATAGCATAGTATAGCATGAGAAAAGACCTTTTCTTAACTCTGACAGATTTTTAAAAGTGGGTCTCAGAAGTGTTGTTGGGTGAAAATTGACATGCTCTCATTTAATTGTCCCATGGCAAAGCGATCCATAGAAAATGATCTGCTGCGCAGTCATCTGGCACCAGGTATATAAATGTATATAAATGAGACCTTGAGACCTGCATACCTCCCCTCTCTGTTGAGTAATGTAATGTATGTGGCACATGGTGTTAAAAAAGTCAGAAACTGAGATGAAAGACCTGCCTTTTTTTTTTTTTCCTAGAAAGCGTATAATCTATCAAATCACAAAAATAAATGAAAAAAGTGAGACGTTATTTTTTACCATTGTATGCATGAGATGCATGGAATATTGAGATATAATTGAATTATTCTTCTTTCAGTGTAAAACAATGAAGTCAATTGCATTCTTTGTTTCAATTGACATGAACAAGTTCCTTCCTTCCTCAACCACAGCATTTCCTCAAAACAATGCTGTGTTTCAATATATTTTACTACCATGGCTATGACTTCTATGAGTGCATGAAACTAATAAGCCTTCTCTCGGGTGAAGGAAAGGAAATCACTGCCACATGAAGGAGACAGATATCACGTTGCATATGAAGAGAATACAACCAATAAAACACAATGATTTTGTTTTGAGAGCTGTAAAATAAAACAAGCCATAAATAATAGTTTAAGTTCATGAGGCGGTGCAGAAATAAAGCCACACTGACTACGGAGTTACAAGAGTACAAGAGTAGTACCAACTCTGGAGACGACTACGCTCACTGTGGCGCCCAATCAGAAGGCCTTGAACCCCTGAAATTTCCCATATCTCGGTTGCTTGTTTAGCGCGATCTGTGTTAGGGCCAGGAGAGTTGTGGCTCATGCTCGAAGCTTAAAAATGTGGCTTTTCTCGTCATGCTCTGCATCATTATTATTACATATTACATTTTTCATTAGTTAATATAGACCAAAACAGAGCGCGTGGGATTCGATATATGAGATAACAGCAAAACTAACAGAGTAAAAATGATGAGAGAAATTTAGAGGAATACTCTTTACCGGTTGTGATAGTATCTTTTTCCAAGGGAATTTTCCCGAGCTATCCCGATCGTAACATCGTACAGATACGTTGTGTGGCTTTGCATATTTCTTCCCATACATTCCTACTGGGCATTATTATTAGCTTGGAGTGGCAATTCTTTTTCCTTTGCGTGAAAAAACACAACCAGCTAACTATTATTTAATTGGTTGGGTAGTCTAGCTGCATGCACACAGCCACACGCACCGAGATTATGTAATGCAGGCTTGCAGCCACAGGCGAGGAGAATGACAACTACTCCGTATAAATGATAGTTAACTCAGTACGCTGCGTATGGTACTGTATTTCATAGGGCTGAATGCTACTGTGTAAAAGCGAGGTTACAAGGGCTGAGCGGTTGATAGCTTTTTTTGATACACTGGCATTGGGAAACAGAGTAAGTAACTACTTGAAGAAACATTTCGAGCTTCAGAAGGGGGTCTGGAGGTTTGTATGGTTGGTTGCAAGAGCGAAGTGGGAACATCATATACCTATGAGAGTGAGTCTGCTCAACTTTGCTATTCTGATTTCTATTTATGCCCTTTTTTTTATTTTTATTTTTATATTTTTATATTTTTATATTTTTATTTTTGGTGTATCTTCCCCGTTGTAGGATTGCACGAGTTAGAGCCCCGCTGAAGGATTGAAAGTTGTGGAGACGGGATTTTTTGCTGTTGACTTTGGCAGCTTAGAGAGCTTTGCCCCTGAATCATTTGAACATTAGAACACGTTACGGAGTAGGCGATGGAATCACTAGTATACATATTGGCAGAGATAAAAATATATCGACCATTCATCTTCATTGTTCTATATTTAAATTCAATATTATTAATAAGTTAACAACATAGTTACATCAATTATTAATAATAATGGAGAGAAAGCAGTTTGCTGTTTGCTTGCTTGGTAAGTCCACTGAAGAATAACAGGTAAAAAATATGGAAAGCGGAGAACACATATTTTGTAAAATATCCACTGCCGCTTCATTTTGGGGGCAGGAAATCCCTTGCTTAGCCTATGGATTCCTCTAATAAATGTTTAAATATAAATGATCATCCAGGGCTTCTACAGAGAAAAGGGGGTTTGAACCCATCTTCCCAAGGTGAGAGAGCAGGAAGCCAAGAGTCGCTGTTTTGAAAACCCGGAGTTCGGAGGGATGCTTTGTATGTACTCCCACCAGCGATTCAATTCTGCAGTATAACAAAACGCAACGTCGATCAGGCGCAGGTTGGTTCGAAACAGAGCAACAGTGTCATCGAGCTGTGAACTGAGTCCTGAAGCGGGCAGTCCAAAATAGGGAAGTAGGATGGATATTGGGGCCTTGCGGGCAAGCTGCGAATCATAGTCCATGAACCTGCCACATCATATCAATAGTAGTTAATAATAATAGGGTTCATCGGGAAGGGAACACAAATCAATCCCGCCAATTTGCGGGTTGCAGTTCAGCCTTACGCGGATAGACGATCGCACAGAGATAGGATAGAGAGCACATGTTGAGCATTGTCCAATCTTGCATGGGCGTCGCATCGAGTTTTGCATACCGCAACAATGAGGGCTGCGGGTGGTTGAAGCTGGGGTCTGCCCTATGACGAAGAACGGTGAGAAATGGGATCGAAGTTCACACCCCGATGATTCACACGGGAGGGTGGGTGCATATATGCATAAACTGGATTTATTATTACATGCATTGCGCATGTATGCACATTATAGGACTGTTGCATATAACTGAACGATTTTCGAGTTTCAATTCTAACAAGGGATATTGTTGACGGGAAATACCTGAATACCATACCATGCCTTTGTTGTTTTTGCTGCTGCCGATGCTTCTTCTTCCTTTACAACCCTCGCAAACATTCAACCCCCTTACGTGGGACGAGAAGAAACGACGTGCAGTAAGTTACGCTGCGTAACTACGTCTTGTCAAGTAATCGTAGGGGGGGGGGTTTCTGCCTGGCTTGGTCTCTCCTCTCCGCAGGGAAAAATGGACAGACAAAAGACTCGGGTCTCAGCAGGATCATGATGCCTCCACCTGAATAACCCAAAAGGGATTCCATGTCAGCATTTCTCCTTCCCCTTCTGGCCCTCTTGTAATTATTATGAATGTGTACGGAGTACGGCCCCCGATCCCTTTTAGTAGGCTGAATTCAACCCGACGTAGCCAATTGAGGCGTGTTTCAACAGCCGGGGGACCAACCACGCCGTATTTTTAATTTTAGCGGGTTCCAACGGCGTAATGCGAGAGAGCGTATTTTTTTATTTTTGCAGTTCTCGAGTCCTGTTGAAAATACGCATGTTTGTACCGCACATGTAACTTCGGCGGAGCCTGCGACCTGCGCTAGCAGAGTAGCAGCATCCACACTCGCAGAACCCAGATCAGAACACAGACACAGACACACACACACACGCACACGCACACGCACACAAGCAGACACAAGCAGACAGACACAAGCAGACAGTGGCAGACACCGTACCATACCACGCTAGGCCATCACATCTCCACTGCCGGGGCCCAGTGAGCACATCCCAGCCCTGGGACTTAGCGTGGCTGCGCACTCACTGCCGATGATATGATGATGCAGAGAGGAGGGGGGGGAGGAGCAGTTAGCAGCAGCAGTAGTGGCAGTCTGGTAGATCAAAGCCAGCAAAAAGATCACTACCGTACTGTACATTACATATCTGGTGCAGAAGGGTGGAGCGTGGTCGTGCTGCTTGGGCTATTGGGCTCCTTACTGGGCCTATTATTATGACTGCTGCGACATAGCGTGGGCAGCGGAGGGTTTTGCTGTTGCGCCTCGCTCGGGGGGTGGGTTCTGGGTTCTGGGTTCTTGGGTTCTGGGTTCTTGGAGTCTGGAGTCTGGAGTCTGGAGTCGAGTCGGTGCTGGGTTGCGTGGTGCTGGCTCATGTTCCTCGCTGTCCCTGTAGGGCAAACAAATCAAGAGCCCCGATATGACCCCTTCGCTGCCGCTCGCTCTCGGCTCTGCACGCCGCTGCTGGCTTTTATAAAAACTACTCGTCGTCCACCCTCTCTTCCTGGCTTGTTTGAATTTTTTTTTTTATATATCCCCCTCCCCCCTCCCTTTTGTTTCATTTACTGGTATTATTGTTTTACTTTCCTCTCCTTCCCTCCTTTTATTTATTCATCTTTCTCCTCCTGACCACACTTCTGTTCTCCATTGTGTTGTTTGTGTGGATGGATCTTCCCCTTCCTCTGCCTTCGGCCGACTACTAGAAGCAAAGAAAAAGTCACAGGGAAACATACAAGAAAAACAAATAGAAAAACAGGAAAGGAAAAGGAAAAGAGAAAGAAAAGAAAAGAAAATAAAATAAATCGAACGGAAAACCCCCCAGACCCAAAAATAAATAGAGCTCGCCTTTCCCGCCATTTGCCACCGCGAGATCTCCTCGAGTTCGATCGAGTCGGTCTAGGACAGACCAACAAGAAGGCATTCGTGCATAGGGAGAGAAAATCGATCGATAACCACCACTCCCTCTCCCTCTCTTTCTCCCCCAATCTGCCTCTTTACCCGCCCCGATATCCTTTGCCCGTCCTGTCCTGTTCATACCACGAGATCCTGCGGTCTCATTGGCTGCGCCCTCCCGGTCCTAGCACGCCCGCCAAATCTCTAGCCCTGGCTGCTTTCCAGCACCCTCGTCCACTCCTTTGCCAGTGCTCGTGTTGTTTACTCGGCTTTTGTGCCCTCGTTTCCGCCAGTTCCCCAGGGGCAAAATCCTCCTCACGAACTCCCTTTTTTGTGTGCACAAAGAGGACTGGTTCTCCTTCCGCCAACTGTCCTGCCCTATTTTAACTACATCGGACCGACCCGTGGACCAAATCCCCCCTCCCCTTTCCGTGTTTTTTTGTGCTTGGCGCCAGCTGCAGACAGACATTACAACCCAACCACCATTCCAACCGCGAAGAAACCGCTGAAACAAAAATTTCACGCTGGGAAAAAAATAAAAATAAAAAATAGTCTTGCTTCCCGTTCTGACTGGTACGATGATTCGCGGCTCATAACCCTTTCTTTTCTTTTTCCTCGTCCAATATTTTGGTTGCTTTTTCTGCCGCTGATCGAATTTGGATATGAACCAATCCAGTCAGCTGACTTCGCTCTATATAAAATAGCCCAAATACTATTCGCCTGATGCTCTGCTGACATTGGCTCCCGTTCCATACTTTTTTTGGATGAACAATTTGATCTACCGCAGAAACGACGCCAGAAAAACTTTGTTCCTAGAGGCTGTGCTTTCCCCCCCTTCTTTTTCCATTCTATCTGGCTCTGTGGTTGAGCAAAAAGTGTGGTTCCGCCCTCTCCCCTTCCAACGGCCCGACAATGCTAGCGCTGGAGCGTTCTCATCACGAGCAATCCTATCTTCAGCAACTCTCGATGGATCCTTCTATGCATGATCCTTTTGGTTCGCTAAATATCGACGGTTACAATCATCTTGGTTTCAACCCGTTTCCCGTAGGCACGGCCTCTTTCATAGCAACTCCTTCGTTTTTGGTAGAGGCCCCCCAACACTTGTACGGCAACAACATCAGTAGCGAACAGCACGACAACCAAAAATACGACTCCTATGCACATCACCCTTCTGCTTCTCCCTCCATAGCTACCACCCTCTCCTCCGACCTCAGCGCATCTACAAGCTCATCCGTATCTGGTCCTTCGTTACCAAGCACCTCATCGTCCACTATCGGCTCTCCGTACCAGGACAGCTGGATCGACATGAACAGCGCTTCGGGGCTTGGACCCGCCACAGTGGGTAGCGATGGCTACCCGCAGGAATACGTCAGTGCTGGCATGGAAGCTGATATGATGTTTGCGCATGAAAAGCTCCCAGATAGCTTCGTGGGTGAGTGTCACAATGCTTTTTCTTCTGTCCAACCTTCGCAGGCGCCCAAACTGCCTAGACAAATTGCTCAGCATGTAAACATCTCTTCTGTATCTGCATCCGCATCTTCTCCAGTAGTAGATGGCCATTTTGGTGCACTCTCTTTCTCTGGTTTCACATGGCAACACTCAGATGTTGCATCTATGGCTAGCAAAAATCAACCAATTCAATCCATGTCTCCTCCTACGAGCACTGCTCCTCTGGCAGGCGGGAGATCACAGCGCAAAGGTTCAACCAGCGGAACTAGCACACGCAGGAGTGCACTGGCCTCCCCGGTGGCCCGATCTCTGAGTGGCAATTCTCCAGCTATGTATTCGCCAGAGATGCCCAGCAGAAAGCGGTCGTTGACCCAAGACTCATGCGTAACAACCCTTGAAGCGAGGAAGATGTCCACTGCAGAGGCTAGGATGAAACATCGAGATAGCCTACATTCTCCAAAGAGGAGCCCTAAGCCTCCAGGGTCTAGGAATAGGGAGCCATTTGAAAACTCTTTCTTTAAACAGAGTAGCGGAAATTTTGTGCCGCCGCTCGAGTCATCTTGTTGGTGTTTTGACTTTCCTACTTGATATCCCGTGCAGTGCCTGCTTTTTGAATGTTTCATTTATTGCCGCTTTGCCTTTTCTTTCATTTCCTTATGATACCCAACACTGTGATCGTGATACATTGCGTGTTTTGCTGTCTTTTTTGTTCCGGTTTCCTTAACTCTACATATTTGAGATACCATCTTCTCGTCACAATGCGCTCTCTACAGTTACTAATTTACCATTTGGCTTGCATAGACCCGTCATTGATCCAGCCAATGCAACAACAAAGCAGTTACCCGCCTCCGACTGCATCATACGCAGAGGAAATCCAATATGCTTTTACACGATCACCCCTTTTTCATTCGACATCTCCCGCCGCATCACCTTTACCACAATCCCAAACATTACACCCCCAACAACACCCTCGATCCGCTCTCCCCTCCCCGTACCTAACGCAATCATTCACTCCTCGGCCGCTTTCATTTGCTGGAAGAAGGTCGTCCATATCCTCCGAAAACTCGCGACGGTCGCAACGCAGTCCCCTGGCGGGTAGTGTTGACTACGAAGAGAAAGGGAAGGAGAAGGGTCGCTGCCCCCACCCGGATTGTGGGCGGGTGTTCAAAGACCTAAAGGCGCATATGCTTACCCATCAATCAGAGCGACCAGAAAAGTGTCCGATAGTAACCTGCGAATATCACCTGAAGGGATTCAGTAGGAAATACGATAAGAATAGGCACACATTGACACATTACAAAGGGACGATGGTGTGCGGCTTTTGCCCCGGTTCCGGGTCTGCTGCTGAGAAAAGCTTTAACCGGGCGGATGTGTTCAAGCGACATCTGACTTCTGTGCATGGCGTGGAGCAGACCGCGCCCAATAGCCGCAAGAAAACCCCTCCCACGTCAAATCGAAAGGCTGCCACTTACTGTCACGATGCCACAGGCAAATGCTCGACGTGCTCGTCGACGTTCAGCAACGCACAGGAGTTCTATGAACATTTGGATGACTGTGTTCTGCGCGTAGTCCAACAGGAAGAGCCCAGCGAAGCCATTAATCTCAAGCGATTGACAGAAGTGGCTTCCGACGATGCTGTGCGGCAAACCATGGAGAAACACATGCTTGTCGACACGACCAATGACGTGATAACGAACCATAACCAAACAGACGACCATGATGATGATACGAACGACTCTAACGATAATAATAACTCAAACACCAGAAACCCCGCGGCCGGCAAAGGCTCTCTAAAATCATCCGCCTCATCCACCTCCACCTCCAGCACAAACACAAACACCACCCCTTCCTCCTCCTCAAACACCCTCTCCAAACCCCCCTCCACCACCCACACAACCGCCGGCATAACAAAACCCCGCCCCACCTCCTCCCGCCGCCGCAACAACCGCAACAACTACCCCCCATCCTGGGGCTGCGCGACCAACAAAATGAAAATGAAAAAGCGTGTCCTGTGCCTCTACGACGGCCAGCGCCGCCTCTGGAAAGATGAGATGATGCTCGATAACGAATTCGAGGTCCGGTTGAAGTTACTCGGTGGCGCCAATGACGACAACGGCACAGGCCGTGACGCATATGTCACGGATTTGGACGTGGAGACACTGAAGCGCGCCGACGCAGTGCATGGAGCTACGGAGGAGGAGAGAGGCCCCTGGGATGGAGATATGGGTGGCAGCGCGGGTCTCGTGGGGCTCATGGGCCCTGCTGCCGTGCCGTTGATGAGACACATGCCCGAGGGTGGGATGGTCGATGAGGTTAACATTGATGAGCTGATGGCGTGAGCTGGGAAGGGGGGGACTGTGATTTTAAATATGTTTTTCATTTTATACTTTCCCTGTGCACCTGGGGTGAGAGGGATGTAAAATGTCCTTTGTGATATTGGGCTTTTTTTTTCCGCTTGATATATATTTTATTTTATTCCCCTTCTTCGTCTCCGATCTATTATTATTATTATTATTATTTTTCTGGCTTCATTGGTTTTTGCTTTTTGTGTAATGCCCCTAGGCGGGGGTGACAAGGCTCCGCCGCAGAGCAGTTAAATTTCTTCAGAAGCTTTGAGACTTTTGACTCAATTTCTCTGTCTGAGATAATAGAATTCACTGATACACTTCTAATAAAATCTCTTTATTTCTCCGAGAGAGAATACGAAATGAAAGTTAAGAGTCATGGAATCACCAGCCCCGTATTAAATAAGCCAAACCGTATAATCACGTGATTAAATGATAGCTGCGATAAACCTCCGCACTCCGCAGCCCGACACAAGGACAAGCTAAACAAGATATAAATCCAACTACAGACGGTTTTAAAACGGCTCATGTGCAATTGACTGCACCCGCCTTGTTTTCGTCATTTCCCCACGAGCTTGGTGAGTAACACATTTTGCCCGTATCCTTCATAATTTTCCAGACATCTTGGAAAACTTTTCGGAACTATAAAACTGACCGCAGCGGGGGGTTGTTGCCTGCCCAGTTCAAGTTTCTGTAGAGCTTCTACACAACGCCTTCTTACGGTTTTCGCTTGCGTTTTCCATTACAAAACCTAACGAACTACGAATAAGGAAATAGAAAAAAAAAAAAAAGTCGACTACCTGCTCCCTCTGTTTGTCAAGATCCTGCCACCAGAGAGAAACGGAAGGGAACGAATCGAATCGAATCGAAATAAATAAGAAACAGGGGGCCCGGATTGAGAGAGAGAGAGAGAGAGAGAAGTGAGTGAGCGGGGTCCTATCATACACTAGAAGCGCGGGGATTTATCTGGAGGGAGATATTCGCCGGGGAACACTTGCGAACGAGGAGGTGTGGGGGGATGCAATAAATCCAAATATACCATATACCATACGTTGGGCACATTCCTCGCTGGGCGAACACACAAAGTCGGCATATATTCCAACCTCCTTTCCTTTTCCTTCTTTATTCCCCTTTCCCGCGCCCCGGTTCGCGACTAGAATGGACTCGCTCGCTAGTCCGGCACCGTTTGCGGCGGGCGCAGATGTTGAGATGAACATGGGTCTTGGGGAGGGTAATGGTAGTGGTAATCGGAAGGGTATTCCTGGTGAGACGGGCGGTAAGGCGAAGGGTGTGAGGGTTGACGGTATGTTATTTTCTTTTTCCTAGTTTCTTTTGAAGGCGCTGTGTGGGAGTGTGGTGGGTGAGGTGGGGGGATGATGGGTGGAAATGAATTGATGAATCGATGGCTAAAGGAAAGGAGTATTGATTATTTTTCTTGCGCAGAGCCGCCGAAATTCGATCTGGAGTCATATATTAGTAACTACAGTGGTATGTTTTTTACTCTGCATTCTGGGGTATTGGGCTCGTTTTTATTGTTTTTGTTTTTTTTCTAACCGTATTGTACGTACAGGGAGAACGAAATTTGCCAGACTCTACCTGATCGGAGCCTGCTCAACGTTTCTCTCTGTTGAGGCTTTGAAGATGGCAGTTGCAGACGCGAAAGGCGGGAAGGATGTGAATTCTTATACCGATGCTGTTGAAGCGTTGGCTCGCGTAGCTCCGCAAGACCCGGAAGCTAAACTTGATGCTGCATGGGTTGATCATACATCTAAAGTAGTGAAGGCTGAGACAGATCGGTTGGAACATGAGCTCAAGGGATATAAGAATAACTTGATTAAGGAGAGCATTCGGGTGAGTGAATCTTGTCATCTTTCACGGTCAAATATAGCCGCCATTCTAGGACATTCGCTTATTCATTGTTGATAACAGATGGGCAATGAGGATCTTGGCCACCATTATCATCGCATTGGGGACCTCCCAAACGCTTCCAAAGCCTACTCTCGGATGAGAGAATACTGCACAACGACGTCTCACATCGCGTCTATGCTTTTCAAAAACATCAACGTCGCTATTGACCGCGGCGACTGGCTAGGTGTCCAATCTAGCGTGCAGCGTCTACGCAATCTACAATTCAAGCCAGAAGACGAAGCAAAAAGCAAAGCCAAAATGTTCGCTGCACTGGGCCTATCCCAGCTCGCCTCATCTGCCTACCACTCAGCAGCAATAAACTTCCTCTCCACAGATCCAGTCATAGCGGACAACTACAAAGAGGTAATCTCAGCCAACGACATCGCCGTATATGGCGGCCTCTGCGCACTCGCGTCCATGGATCGTGCGGACCTGCAGACCCACGTCTTGGAGAACAAATCCTTCCGCAACTTCCTCGAACTGGAACCCCACATCCGCCGCGCCATCTCCTTCTTCTGCGCCTCAAAGTTCCGGCTCTGCCTGGACATCCTCGAAGCCTACCGTGCCGACTACCTCCTAGACATCCATCTCCAGAAGCACGTGCCAGTGCTTTACTCCTGCATCCGCACCAAGGCTATGCAGCAGTACATCATCCCCTACAGCCGGGTGACGCTCGATGCGATGGTTACAGTGTTCTCGCCAGGCCAGGCTGCGTCAATCAAACCCAATGGCGGCACCATCGATCTAAAGTCGCCGTTTATCGTTGAATTGATCGATATGATCCAGAAGGGAACGCTCGATGCACGTGTTGACGTCGAGAAGGGCGTGCTTGTCACGACGCAGACGAATACAAGAGAAAATGTGCAAGCAGCTGTGATCCAGAATGTCAAGGAGTATGTCAATACGGCGCACATTCAGCTGCTGCGGATGAATATTTTGCATGCAGGCTTGGAAGTTCCCGCGGTTGGCATTGAAGGGGATGGTGGGCGTGGGGGTGGCGGTATGCGTACCAGGGCTGCTGTGGCGGAGGCGGCGATGAGAAAGGGTTTGTCGCTGGGGAAAGCGTCGAAGGGACGTAAAGGCAAAGGTTGATTTTTTTGCGGTGCGGAACGATACTGGATTTGTCAAGTTATGAATGTCTATACTTTGAAAGCCTCTATGGGTATCAGAGGCGTTGTTGATATGATGGGTATGCCTGATGTATTACGAGTCTGACTTTGTTTTCTTCGGATGATAGAGCGCTCAGCGAAGAAATGAAGAAACATACATGTTTAATGTTTATTTGAACTCTTGTATCAACCATGATATGTCCACAAATCGACCTAGTTTAATAATATATCCACACGACATTATATGTTGCCAGTCAAATCTAATCATTGTATATCACACCCATAACATATCCCCCATGCACTCTACCCGCACCCCCTCACCCCCTCACCCCCTCACCCTCTCACAACTTCGCCCCCTTCCCTACAATCTCCACATCCCGAAACGGCACCCCTAGAAACAGCCACATAAAATGAAACCGATCACTGCCAAAGAACGGCTCAGCCTTCCCCTCCGCATTCGTCACCCAATACCACGGCGCGCCAAACGCGCCCCGGTCCAGCGCCTCCTTCGTCCGGTCCGTCAGCGCCTGCTTCCCCTCAGGGCTCTGCGCAGCTTTCATGATGGCCTCGATTTGCGCGTCGCTGTACTTCTCCTCGTGGAGCAGGGCGATCACGTTCTCAGGCTTGCTGAGATCGATTTGCCGGTAGAACATGTAGGTCCAGTAGAGGAGGAAGGTTTTCTCGAAGCGGTCGCGCGGGTAGTTGGCTTTGATATAGGTAGCGACGCGTTGGGGCTGGTGGTGGGTGGGTGATTTAGTGAATGGTTCAGGGGATGTCTTTCTTTTGGGGAGGTGGGAGGGGGTGTTGAATTTACTAGAATTGTAAGAGGCGGGAAGAATGGTGGAGGAACTATGGGTTTGACTTTGAAATAATTGGCGGCCCGTTTACCGTCATATTTGCTGTATTTTGCCTTGACGGGGTTTGTCCAGGGGGGTGTATTGCCTGAGATGAGGAATTAATTAGATTGTTAGCTCGCTGCTTGTGGTTTCATGTATGTACGACTTGGGGATTTGTCCATACCTGAGCCAGCATTGATTCCACCCAAGAAAACTGGAAATATGCTAAGATGCGGATGAAATTAAATTAACAATTGATCCAAAATGCATCGCGAACTGGTCTTGATGCATATATATCATTGCTCAAACGTGTCAATACATACTCGATCTCTATGCCATAGGATTCTAGCACCTCGCGGTTCCTGAGCAGGTGCAGGAAAGCGAAGTAAGAATACAGAGAGGCTATGGTCGTGATAATGCTGTCAGCACGAGTGTACCTGGTATTGAGGAGGAAGCGGAGGACTCACAGCAGTCGAAATATGCTTCTATCTTTCCGCCCATGGTGTTAGATTAAGCTTGCAGCTGTTAGAATTGAACTCAGGTGTTTGTCCCTTCGAGATGGATTACAACAACGAGAGCTAAAAATAACTGTATGAATACATACAGCTGAGCGCAAGGGACGATAGAAACAGCTTATCTGAATTATCTATTAAACAATGGAGAAGGTTTAGTTATTCGTCGCAAAAAAGATGCCGAGGTGCGGCAAGCTTTCGGCATCTTTTGGATTACTAATGACAATTTGCCGGAGACAGAGCCGAGCTTTTTCTGTCCAGCATCTACGCAGCAGATGATAGCTTTCGGGGCATTAGTATTGAGGCAAGGTATGGCCCGTATCATGAATTAATAATATCAACTTGTTTTCACTTTGAACTAGCTTAATTGATGGACTAAGACAAAATACAACGGGCCGTTAGCTCTCCATATCTTTCTCGTCCATCCTTCCTCGGGCGTTTTCTGTAATTCATCAAATAACCATGGCAACTATCAAACCAGTGGCATTGGTGATTGGAGCGTCTCGCGGGATTGGACGTCAAATTGCTATAGACCTGGCAAAGGACGGTTATGCTGGTTCGTACAGCTCTAGCTCCCAAGTCTATATATCTACAAACATATCATGCACATGTATCATGGACAGCATTGGCTAATTAGACAGACAATACACAGTGGTTGTATCCGCAAAAACAACTTCGGACGCCAGCAAAACCACCCCTTTCCCGCCCGATCCCAACTCCCCACAATCGACCATCAACACCGTAGAGCGGGAGATCCGGGAAGCGGGCGGTGAAGCCATCGCACTGGCAGTGGACACCAGAGACGTCGACGCCATCAAACGTCTCGTCAAACAGACTGTTGATACCTACGGTAAACTGGATGTCCTGGTTTACAACTCCGGGGCCATCTGGTGGTCATCTGTTGAGAATACGCCTGTCAAACGGTTCCAGCTGATGCAACAAGTTAACCCTGAAGGACTGTACGCTAGTGTGCAGGCGGCATTACCTTATTTTGGGAAGAATGGGTGGAAGGGTAGGATTGTTGTTGTGTCGCCTCCGATTTATTCGAGGTTTTTCAGAGGGAAGACGGCGTATGCCATGGGTAAGTTATACTTATTGCTTGCTTTGCGAGCTTTGAGTTGTTGGGTGGGCCCTCGGGAGCGGCGTGGTTCTGATGAAGATTGAATCTTTTGGTATTTGCAGATGGAGTTTAACATATTCTTTTAGGCAAGGTCGGAATGAGCGTCCTAACCAAGGGGCTGGCGATGGATTTCGTTCGCCAGGGGCGGAAGGATATGGCCATTACCAGTATATGGCCTGCTGTAGTATGCTTCAGGCCCAATCCACCGCTATACATCCTTTTTATAACCAGAAACTTTAGTCCATCGAATCCGCTGCAACCAAAAGATCGACAGACAAGGAGCCCTCACTCGCAAAAGATTTGCGAAAACCCGTATGATAATATCCTCCCTTCACTACTAATACCCCAAAATGAAAAAGCGAGCAGAAAACTAACTCCAAAACCTCTCTATCCAAAAAAAGTCAATATTCTCGGCCGCTATCCTCGGCATACTCCATGCCCCTACATCCGCGGTAAACGGCCTCCTAACTCTAGACGAAGACTTCCTTCGGGAATACTGCAACGTATCGGATTTCTCTGAATATGACGTCGTGCCAGGTTCGAATCCAAGGCGAATCATGCCCGCAAAATTACCTGTTCTGGAAGTTGCGGAGCAGGACGATGAGGGCCGGAGAGTTGATAGTACGGCTCTGAGAATTGCGGAAGGGAAGTCGAGGCTGTGATTTGATTTGTTTGAATTTGTGGCTTATGACAGAGCTATCTATCTGTATAATCATTCTTGCCCTTTTAACCAGCCAATTTTCCCTCCGGAGGAGGTGGTAGTTGGGTGGTGATTAGTTGGACTATGGTTATCAGCATGGAGACCTAATATGTGCAACTGGTGGGTAAGAAGATAAATCAGTCGAGTTTGTGGCGCTCGTCATTGCCACGGACGTACGTGTACCTCCCTGGCGTTTTGCAGCTGTTCTCCGGTTGGGGGGGAAATCGATAGAACCCATGGAATACAAATTTTGCTCAAAGGAATATGATTTCATTAATTTCTTATGGCAATCATGCAGCCCCTGCGCGCAGATGCTAATTAATGATCCAACGTATTGTCATCAGAAACAGAAGTTGTCATAGGACTGAGCTGGAACATGGCGTATGTATCCGTCCCAGTTACCTCTCTATCCTCCCTATCACTATTTGGTTTTCCCACTTTCAGTGCAACGGAATCCAACACTCTGTCAACCAATAACGCTGCAAATCACATCAGAGAATATTAGCCCCGTTGCAGTGGTCCGGTTATTATAGGAGGCGAGGAGCACGGGTATTCATGCAAGATGAGATGGGCGAGCAACTCACCTATGAGTAGCGCCAACGTGAACGTAAAAATAATCAGTGGGCTTGTCATATAACTGTAGATTAGACGGAAATTCGCCACCATTGCGACCATGCCTAGCAGTATAATTCCCAGCAGAACACGAGTTGTAATAGCCACCCATGCGTATATTTTTCCAGCATGGCGCTGTGTAAGAAAGACAAAAGCGGCGAGTATGAACATAGCAAACGACGCGACGACAAAATAGTATATATACACAAACCCAAGCAGCCGTAAGTACAACATCAACAGCTTCTCGCTCTCCACCACGTCAACTGGTAGCGTTATTCCCATGCTTGAGAAGAGGCTCGTTGTCACGTTTCCCATCAGGTCGTGCGAGCGTTGATGTGTGAGCGACCCTGGGCCATTAAACGATGGACACAATTGGGGGCTATTTCGGAGATCCTGCAAGATAGATTGTATACAGCGCCGCTCTTCAAGACCACCCCTGGTATAGTCAATGTCCATGTCCAAAATTGTGCTGTTGAGTAGGTCGATAGCAAAATGAGGGTCTGGTCTTGGCGGCTCGCATGCAAAGAGAATGCTATCGCTCAAATGTCTGAGTTTCAGGGAAATGTCTAGAGTCAGGGCCAGAATTTGGGACCCCTCTGAGAGAAGGACAAGCATAACGTGAAATGGAAAATGTAGCTGCGTCCAGATCTGTTGGTTGGTTATTCCGTATTTCACACGAGGCGAAATATCGAAGTATGATTGCCATAAAAGGTACTAAATAGGCATATTAATCACACTGTTAAGTCTGCCTATCCTGGGAAGGAGTCTTACTACTCCAGTAGTCACGCCAAGTATATGAACAAAGGACCATTTCGACCAGCCAGAAGAACCAACTGTCTGATTGACGAGTCTGGTTACGGAGATAACGCCTTCCCCAATAATGATAAGCGTCAGAAGGCCCATCCGAACGTTGAGATGGGTATTTTCAAATCCAATTCCGGGCGTGCGACTGGATACTGACATCACAACAAGGGTTTCGATTGCGAATATCAAGAACCAAGAAGTCCACACATATTCTCCTCTGGTGTCCGTGTTGTTGTTAAAAACGAAGTAAAGCTGAGCAATGAGTTAACGTGTTGTTCTCCTCCGGAATAGTTGTACCGTGAGAAACTCACCCCGGTGTATGTAGCCCCAGTTCCGATGAAAACCACAACTATCCACAGTAACCTCTTGGAAGCCAGTTGCATTGTACGATATAAAAATATTGCAGCTATTGAATATTCGACACTTAATAACAGGCGACTGGAGGCTAAAAGGATGCTCAGCGAACGAAATGCCCAGACGTTCTCATCACGGACTTGCGTAGCGAAGCCGGCGCCAGTTGAAGCAAACCCAACCATAGTCGCAAGCTGGAGTGCTTTGCAAATCCTCTCAAATATAGAATCCTGTGCAAAACGAATGTCGAACAGAGCCACCTGAAGCCAGGTAAACCAGATGATACTGAGGAAGCCAACGTAAGACCACAACGCTGAAATAACAAAATCAGTATCAGCACGATTCTCCTGGTTTTGTATTGACACACGAAAATCCTAACCTTCCAGATTATTTATTTCATGAGTGGCGGTGAATGTAGACAGGTTTGCAACGAAAAAAAGGTCAAAGAATAATTCAATAGGGGTAGAATCGGTATGATGGTTAAGACGTGGATGCTCTTCATCGGTCTGGTCCAGGGGTGATGCGATCCATGGAACGCAACGACGTGGTTTTCTGACAGACGGGTTAACAAGACTTAACAACTCAGCATACATCAAAGCACGGAGCCTACCCCTTTCTTGTAGTCAGGTGGATTGGTAGAGAGTCGCGACTAAATGTTAGAAATAAAGGGCGACCCATGATGATACGCCCAAAATAACAATAAAAGTCGAATTAATCCCTCAAGGTTGAATAATATATAGGACAATGCAAGATTGCATTCCCTGTGAGGTTTGTTCTTTTACCTCGACAGGAGAAGCGGCTCACCCAGTTGGTGGAAGGCACGTATGTCGTACCGAGCCGCCATGTCATCCTTGTATCAGGCTGTAGCAAGAGCAATGGGCGACGCCAAGGAAAAGTCATTCTAGGCAATTGATATTTCACACTCAGTCAGAAGCTTCGTCTTCAGACGGTAGTTCAGAGCGTCCTCCTAGGTTTTCCAGCCCTCTATCACCCTGGACATCAGTCCCCGGAATGAGACTTTTATCGCCCGGATTGAGACCTGCCTCAGCTCTGAGCCTCTCGTAGTTTTCCCCGGCCTCCTTCAGCAACGTTTGGATCTCTACCTCTCTGGTCGATATCTCAACCTTCTCCTTTCGAAGCTCCTCCATCCTCAGAACGAGCTGGACCTTTGAGTTTTCCATCGTGCTGAGGGAATTCCTGAGCCGGGCCAAACTGTCTGCGAGGCGTGGCAGCGGAGTGATTTTAGGTGGCGTTTTCGGTCGTAAAGGAAGGCTCTCGTGAGTGCGACGCAGACCTTCCATTCCTGCGCGAGTTTGAGCCGCTTCATAGGCTGCTCTGCGCTCGGCTTCAGAGTCATCCGCCTCGGAAGACTCTTGCGCCTCGTCAATCAGTTCTTTCATCTCCGCTCGCTCTCGCCGTTGCTTTTCGCGTTCTGCTTTCCTGCCTATAGCTATTTTGCCATCTTCTACATATTCATCGAACCCTTCCGCGAAATCTTCGTCGTCCCGAACAAGCCTTGTTTCTACTTTCTCCTTCTTTCGCGAGAACGACCAGTCATCGTCAGCCGTATCATCTAGAGAGATGAAATCTTGTTCATGGTCTTCGCCCCGTTGCATGGCAAGGCGAGCACGCCTTTCCTTCTTCTCGCGTATCTCAGCATCAGTGGGGATGGTGGACGGCTTTGACACCTGCACAATCTCTCCAAACTTTGCGGCGATATCTAATTGCCTTTCTTTTTCGTCCTCACTAGTAGGTATCGAGCCCGACTGCTTCGGGGTGGATGGGGTGGAATTACGAAGCTCCTTCAGGTATTCTTTATTGTAGGTCGGGCGATCTTCTTCTGGACCAACCCGGAGAGGTATACTTTCAGACGGCCCTGACGGTGCCCAAGCCCGCTGAAGCCCGCTTTTCTCTTTAATGTGTTTCCTAGCTCCAATTCTCTTGGGAGTGATGACTTCGCCTTCGGTCATCTCCTCATCACCGGCCATAGAAGTCCCTCCGGGTCCAAACGAAAGGCGCAATTTTGATTTTTGTTTCGGCTTCGTATTCGGTCTCCGGACGACTGGCTCTGTATCTTCTTAAAGTCAGCGTTTAACCCCGCGGACCTTTTAATGCAGACATGAAATATAAATTGGAGAGTACAGACCTTGTTCGCTGCCATTCTGCGCATTATCGTCTTCGTCCGTACCCACCTTGCGAGCTTTGCGACGATTAGCAAAAAGAGAGCTCATGTTTCCTCCTACCAACTAGGCAAAACCCAAAGAAATACAAAAAAAAACGCGGTTGTTCGGGAAGAGAGCTCTCTTCGTCCAATAGTTCTGCCCCCCGTCCAAACGAACAAGCTCTGGCGTCAGTTTATTTAGTAGTGTTCGGCAAATTGTTGTTCCGGCGCTGCTCCGGCGCTTGCTTCAACTTTCTGGAGCTCGCAAACCGCACCAGTTCGAGCGGCCATCTTAAACTACAATCCAGAACTTCTTCCAAAATGCCTCAAGCACAGCCAGAGTTAAAGAAGGTAAGTCCAGAAAACGCTCCTCTTGGTATTAACCTCCCATGGAATACTGACGACTAATCCGCGTGTGTTGACATTTAGTATATGGAAAAGCGGTTGTTCGTTCAACTCAACGGCAACCGCAAAGTCATTGGAATTCTGCGCGGTTACGATGTACGCGCTTCAACCCCCCACTCCTCGCGTGCCTCAGTTATCTCTCTCTATTCGGGATATTTATTTGGCTCTTTATCTTGAAGTCGCGTACACAAAATGCGCTAGTTAATCTAATGTTGGAATACAATGCAGGTGTTCATGAACATCGTCCTGGACGAAGCCGTCGAAGAAAAGAACGGAGGCGAAAAAGTGCGTCTAGGCATGGTGGTATGTGTACATATTGATCTCTTGTGGTTAACCCTTTAGTATGAACTACACTGACCTGGTCGCAATTTTCTGTCCATTAGGTCATTCGCGGAAACTCAGTCGTTATGCTCGAGGTTTGTTTCCCCGCCTTTGCGTCGTTGCTAGAAGGTGTAATGCAAGCAGATAGCTGACAATACCCCGTTTTCCGTCACCTATAGGCGCTCGAGAGAATCGGTGATCGATGATACCCGGTAGCTGTGCCTCAAGGGAAATCCTGGCGTGTTAATGAGTACAAGAAAATGGGCTGGTGGTTCCTATTTACCCCAATTTATGTCTTCTTTTATTGCGATGGCTGAGAAGCGTTTCAATGTTTGTTTCGACTTTTGTTCTAGGAGTTCGAGGGGAAAAAATGAAAAGAAATTAAATATACTTTGAATAACGGAAATCCGATCCAGCGCCAGCAGGATTATGGGCTGGCTGCAAAATAAATGTCGATTAATAAAAAATTGGCTCGAGTAAATGTAAAATACATCACGTATACTTGTACGTTGACGTTAAATAAAATAGCCCTAGTCGGCCTTTTTTTTCTCTTCTTTCTCAAGAGATACCGTGCAATTCACATCGGTAATGCCAGCCTCATGTCATGTTTCCTCACGGCTGTAGCCTTCGTTCCCTAAAAAATGAAACAAATACATGTGAAAGAAGAAAACAATTCCCCACAAACACCCCAACGCGACGAAAATAACCGCTGACATAGTAAACCCTGCCATGAGTAGCCAATATAAAACTCAAGAAGCAAAACAGAATAGGGGGAAAGAAAAGGCCTTAACATCAGGGAGGTGGCATGGATGAGCGCGCTGGTCTGAACTTCAATTTCAATTTCGGCATCGTTGATGGAGGGGTTGCTTGGGAGTTTGCGGGGGATGACGTTAAAGAGAGCTTCGGAACTTTCAGGGTGAGTTTATGGCTGAGCGGCGGAGGAGCACCCTCCTCGCGTTTCCTCTTCAGTGTACCATTGGGAGCCGGTGCGGCGGCACCTCCATTAGCCACTAGGGCAGTACGGAAACGGCCTCCCTTGAAAAATCGGAGTTTGCCCTATTTTTTTTTTCGTTGGGTTAATTATCATATTTCCTGATGATACAATCGACTGATACAATACAACGTTAGTTAAAGGGCAATGGGATGATCTTACATGTCCCCGATTTTCCAATTTCCAGTACCGAGGATATTTCAGAACGACCATCTTTTCATTGATGGGGGTGTATAAGACACTACAGATGTCGACGAAATCGCATAGTTCCGCTAAACCCACGGTGGGAGAATTGCACGCTGCCCATAGGGCTTCCTTTAATGCCGCGTTACCTTCCAGCTCATGCTTCAACGCCTCCAACGCACCGGGGACCGTTTGTCTACGGGCAAGATTAGCTTGGCGAACCTCAGTAGTTGATTCCTGTTCGATGATTAAGCTGTTGTTAGGTTCCGGTTGTTGTTCGACATTACGCTCGCCGAAGGCAATGGGAGCAAGTCCTCGACCGAAGGCGACATGCAGATTGTGTCGGATCCAGGGTGATAGGTCCGTAGACATCACATAAACGAACCACGTGAGCAGCTCAGGTTTCTGGAAGATGTCGAAGTCGATCAATATGTTGAAAGCATCCAAACGAAGCATTTCATAGGTGCCAGCTCTTGTGTATTGAAGGAACTGCATAAGATCCAAGTCGATAACGTTAGCCTGCATGAATCGTCGCTGGCATTCAATTGCAGTTCTTGAGTAGATGTTCTGGAAGGAAGTTGTCCATTCGTCCATTCGCCTATAACGGTCAATCTCAGCAATGCAATCCCGGTCCAGTTGTTGTTCTGCTTGTCGTTCTAATTCCTTTTCCACATCAAAATCCATATCAACGCTGCCAGGTTCGGTTTCCTTTCGCCCGAGCAAAGCTTCACAAATGGATTTCATGAGTGCAGCAATATAGTAACAATCCGAAAGCTATTCATCATATCAGTAATCAATTATCATAGCCCAAGGCAAGATAGCGACAATATACCTCATTGTTCGAATTGTCATTAAACTTTAATTTATCATAGAGAAACCGTTTAACCCTCATAGGCGTCTTGCCGGTATTGTCTCGAACTTGTGCAATGGCTTGGGGTATAGTCAGTTGGAGAATATAAGCTGCCCGGTCCGAGAAGTCGTTGGAGCGAGTCATGGGTGAGCCTGGTAAGCAGAAAAGCTCTTGGAATGCGGTTTCCAAATGGTACAGTCCAATCCAGTCAACTTCATCTTTAGCATGTTTTACAAGTGCCTTGGCAGCGGCCGCTCGAATACCGTAGAAATACCGTCGATCCATAAGAGTACGCACGAAAATAGTCGATATTAGAGGATGTTCGCGCTGGGCGGCCATGTATTGGATTGACTGCAAAGAGGATGTTAACAAATCTCTTGGAGATAATGGGTAACAAACGTAAATACCTCAAGCTGGGCGACGATGTCTCTATCTTGTTGCAGCTGAGATAGGTACATATAGCCTGGCATTGTGAGTGACATTTTACATATCCACTCGAAATCAGCATCCATTCGAATCCACTCGTAAGACTCCTGGCCCATTCGGTCTTCGTCTTCTTTACTCCATTCAACAAGCTTCCATTTTTGAATCTCCTCCTCGGATTGCAGCACATCCCCAAGGCAATATAGCAAGACATCGTCTTGGAGTTCGGCATTTGGGTCCATACCAGATGTGGCAGCTGCACGCTCTTTCTGCCGTTTATTGCGCTTAAGGCGTTTGTATTTGGTGTTGTATGGGATGTCGAACTTGGTGACACCCTCTTTGATTTCAACGATATGTTCATAGGGCGTTCCATCCGCTTCGTGTATTCGAATAGTCATGGAGCCTGTGAATACATGCTGCACCGGGCCGGCATAGATGTTCTTTATTTCTTCTTTAACTTCTCTCATAAATGTTGATTTTTCTAAATCTCGGACCGTTGCCTGTTCGGATTGAACTTGCCGAATCATCATTTCAACCACCAGCTTCTTTTTATTGAACCGTTGAGTGGCTAGGAACCGCGGACAACCAGCACCATATACCCATTGCTGGAAAAAAGAGTCGAGTTTTGTGTGTCCTAATCTTTCGCACGTTCTTTGGAAAAAGGATGTTGTCAGAGCACCGTTGGGAAGGTCGCCCATTCTCGCATTCAGAAAAATCCGAGAAATGATTCGGGAGATGGTAGCCTTTCCACTAGCTTTCGATAGCCTTCGCTCCAGGATGTAAAGAACTAGTGGTGCTTTTAAAGCTATGAAATCAATCTCCGAAGGGTCTATTCGCAACAGGGCACCCATATCGGATATGGGAGGTCGCGAGATGTCACGGTCGCAAACTTTATCCGACATCTGCTTCAGTCGATACCTGTATTCGTTATTTCCGCACAGCTTTTTCATAAATGTGTCCGTGATGTAATAAGAAATACCCAGTATAGCCCATGTATCTGTTGGATCTTTCGGAATAATACTAACCCCAATCCATTGAGAGGCTAAAGCGTGTACCAGACACCTGGTGGATTCATAGATTGGGTCGATTATGTCCTCCGGAAAGAGAACGCGGTTACTACAAATCGATAGTGCAGCCGTTGCAAATGCGGAAGAAGGGAGATCATCGACAAAACACATTTTATAGCTGGAAAACGGATATGACCCATAACTAAGGGAAAGAAAGTCGATTGCTTTGGCCATTGGTAAACAAGTATTCCTAACTTCGTCCGCCCGTCCTGGGAGACAAAACGCATGGACCGGGATAGCATTCCTTCCGAGCTGGTCATCCTCGTCGCTCTCGCGGTATTCTGAGAGATTAACATACTCGAAAGGCCCAACAGCAAAACCAATTTGCTGTGCGGATACAGGGCTGGTGCAGGAAAATGACACGGTCTTCTTTGCAGGGTCCTTAGTATCCATTATTTCATCGGTTAAATCCCCGGAACACGTCACAACCATATCTAGCGACTCATCGTCCGAAGATATGCCTGGTTTCCTCAGTGATGCATTCCACCCCTTCGCTGTTCCATTTATCGCCTGAGACTCACGCCCTTTGGGATAAAGCGCATCCCCCAGTGTCCGGGGACATCGTATCGATATATCCCACGTGCACCGTGACGACATATCCTCAACGCAGGGAAACAAGCAGCAGCCACTAATTGGGTCGAACGCATTGATTGTGAAGACGTGCGGGTAACGGCGATCGCGACTGTTAATCCCGACAAATTGTATACCATCCCTTGGGCGATTGATTGTGAATTCCGCATATACTGTCAACATCGTATATCTTGGTAACGAGGTCTCAGCGGCTTTTGAGCCAGGCTGGCCGTCTGCTGCATCATCTGTGCTCCCGCTAGCCCGGAGCGCAAGTTGGGTTTGGGCCTCTGCAGAAAATGGATCCAACTCATCAATTCGCACAGACTTCGGGATTGTCACGATTAACTCGGGCTCTGGAGGAGCTTTGAGGAGGGGTTCCAACTTCTTGGACAGTTTCTGGTGTTGATGGACGCCGTATAACCGGAAGGACTCGTATGGGTCTGCATATTTTGTGGTCGGCGCCTTTCCGCTAACATTCAAACGTTTTAATTCTCCTTGGCGGAAATTCAGGCGGAGGGCCTTGAGTTCCTTGTAGTGTGGCTGAATAGTTATCTCTGTTTTCCCCTTCAAACTCTGGTTCACAAAATCAATATCAAGCTCGACCTTCTGGTGAACAACTGAGTAGCCTAATCCAGCGCCGGCAGGCCCCGGTGTTTCCACCACGCCTGGCATTGTAGGCTTCAGTCAAAGGTGGCGCTGGTCGCGCAGGGGGCGTATCGCAGCCTCATAGCCAGCTTCAGGAAACTGATATGGCTGATCTGCGATGAAACGAAGCGTAGTTTGTTCTGGTGCGGGTTACCGCCAGCTGTAGCTGGTGGTGATGCTGCTGAATTTGGGAGCTAAAAGCGGGCGGGCATCGTTCTGCGGCAAAGAGGGTGCAATATAACAGCTATAGCACCAAAACCGGGTGCGTAGTGACAGTTAATTGAGGTTGCGGTGAAGGCGCAGGAGCCTGAGAGTGAGTGTGATTTGGAGATATCTTTGAAGCGCCGTTCTTGCGCGGCGCAACGGCCCAAGCAGGGATGTCACGTGGGCTTCAACGGCTCCTGGTTGAACGTATTTGATCTATCCCCTTTCCCTCTTCCCAAGTCGAACTACTTTATATCCCCGTGTCCTACCCTGTGACACTGCTTCTGCTTGTGTAGGACAGTTATCGTCTTGGGCCTATTCCTTCCATTTCATTGATATCAGCAATGCCCTAGGTGAACTTTTCTGAGACACCTTCTCTTCGCCCAATAACCCTCGCTCTCTGCGACTGCAATGGACTTCCTCAAGAGAATTGCTGGTAAGTTTATCAGCTCTCGTGTCCCTTTAGCTCGAAACGGGTTGAACTAATTACCATAACTCTTCTCCGTAGATGCCCAAGAGTCGCTGTCCGAAGATGCGTTATCACATCTGAAAACCTACAAGTACTCCAGCGTCGACAAGTCCTTCATATCCAGATATATACTGAAGCATTACGTACGGCTATCCCAATATACATGATGTCCTATTGGTTTCCTGCATACCTAGACTGATGAACTCCAATGACAGTGGAATGCCTTCGTCGAACTCCTGCCGCTATGGCTCGCGCCAAATATGGTCACGCTAATCGGCTTTATGTTCATCATTGGAAACTTAATACTTCTGGAGATAACTGTTCCGGATCTTGTCGGGCCGGTATGCGCTTCCTCCTCGATATTGCATGAGCCACGGCCATCTTCAATGCTAATTTGATTATTTACAATATAGGCTCCCTCATGGGTATATTACAGTTTCGCGATGGGGGTATGGATGTAAGATATTTCCTCAACGGACCCTTTGTCCACTATAATGCTATATAGGCTCTTACTCCTCCCTAGGTACTCAACGATGGATAACGTCGACGGGAAACAGGCGAGGAGAACGGGTACATCTAGCGGACTGGGAGAATTATTTGAGTGCGTTTTCCCAGCCCGGCATTTGGTATCCGCAATATCTAACTTGAACCGCCAGCCACGGGATTGACTCCTTAAACTGCACTTTAGCCAGTCTTCTACAAGTTGCGGCAATGGGCCAGGGCTCGACAAAAATCGGAGCCTTCACCACGCTGCTTCCCTGTCTCCCTATGTTTTTCTCGACCTGGGAGACCTATCACACCCACACTTTATACCTTGGATATATTAATGGCCCAACTGAGGGATTAATTATTGGAGTTTTAATGATGATAGCGGCTGGTTATTACGGACCTCATATTTACTCAGCGCGGGTGGCAGATACTTTGGGTTACCCAAGCTTGTTCGGAAATTGGACCTACCAGGAGCTCTTCGTATTTGTTCTGGGCTTCTCGTTTTTGACCGCCCACTTTCCCGCATGCGTTTACAATGTGATACGAGTCCGTAAACGCCACAAACTCCCTATCCTACCCATCTTCTTGGAATGGATACCTGCCATCGTCGCATCTGCATCCGCCGTGTCCTGGCTGTATTCGCCCTACTCGTCGCTTTTGAGTGACAACAGGCTCGTTCTTTTCGCAGTAACGATGTGTTTTGTGATCGGGCGCATGACAACCAAAATAATTCTAGCTCATTTGACCCGGCAGCCATTTCCGTACTGGACAATACTTATAACTCCTCTTATTGGCGGTACCATACTGGGGAACCTCCCCAGATTTGGATTTCCTCAGATCAGCCCGTGGCTAGAGCTGCTTTATTTGCGGGCATATCTGGTGTTTGCCTTTGTCACCTACATGCATTGGGCCTACTTTGTCGTCAACCGAATCACAACCTACTTGGGTATACATTGTTTGACGATCAAACAGGACAAGACGAAGGCTAGGGAGCAAGCTTACCGCCAATTCGGAGAAGGCAGGGTCGATGCGGTAAATATGAGGCCGGATCCATTTGCTGACTCCAGAGTCAAGGCCAATTAGAGAGGATGTTGGCCGCCACAGAGCACGCAAACAATCGGCCCACATCCTGACTACTACAATGTGTCAGGTCAAACCAAATTCAACCGTGTCGAGTGTGATCCAACACTGCCTGTCTCGACAAGGATTCAAAGAAAATCTGAAGAGATATGACTGATGAGATATAGGCAAGAATCACGCAGGTGCTCGACATGCGCACATTCTAAAAAAATACCCCTATCAAACCAAAAAGCCACCATAACGCATTCATGACCTTTACAACCCTTTACAACTCTATACAACTCGTACACCGAATCAACTGGCGTTGAAATAGAGAAACCGGACCTCGGTAAATACATATATATATCGTGATTTCAGGCATCACAAGCTGTGTATAAATTTTGTTCTTCGCAATTGCATTCTTGTCAAAGATAGATGGATGTCTCTAGCTGTTATGGTTTTAGAAATATTTAATACCCTTTTGATATTTCCCAATAACCATTAGCTAGACCTGTAGTTATTGCCCCGGAGAACGTTTTTGGAGTTTGATTGTGCTCCATTATTCGAAGATCTCAAGGGCCAAATAACATGCGTACCTCGGCCGGCTGAAAGGAGCCGCACCAGTGGCTCATGTGGACTACATGCTGGATGCTGGGCAACATTTCTACGTAAACAAACATTCCATTCTACACTTGTTAAATATGTTGTCCCTGTAGATTTGTGCATCTGTTTACATCTGTATCTAGATAAAAAGTCCCCTTATGAATATCACTGCGGACTTATCCGTGTTGACCTTGGAACCGTCCTTCACACATGATTGCAAATATACAATCACTTCTCTCCCTAATGCTGGCAAGGGCAATAAAGCTGCTTGTTGAGCCATTAGTGGGTCAATACATGAAATTTATCCATCGTATATTGACTCCTCTCATGCCCCATACAGCTATGTAGAACATATATTATCTAGATCTTAGTTATATTTAGTCATAAAAACCACCAACTACCCGATAATAGAATTCACACCCTAACCCATGTGTGTACTATACGTGTACATATATATATATATAGCCATAGACCTAGAACAAAAACTGCTGTTTCCCTCTATGTGTCTTCCCCATCGAACAGCCACTTTTGCCATTGATTTCACCACAAGAAAAGCCGTGTTTAAAGAATGCTACCCTTCTACACTGATTGGAGCGCTTCCCTGAATTTTTTTCTAGGAGCCAACACCGCGCTCTTTATCACAGCTTTGCCGATTGTTTACTCTGTCGGGAGTCGATATTTCAGGGGCCGGAATCAAACTCTTCCAACACCATCATCGCCGGCACCGTTGTCGCCTACACCGTCGTTGCCTATTAAGCTGCCGTATTTCGCTCCAGATATTCCACATCCTCTTACGGAAAACACGGAGATAGAGAATGCCACTCTTCTAGTCAAGCACAACGGGTATAAGGTTGTTCAAGTTGGTACTGAGTTTGTTGTCAAATTCGGGGCGGCGAGTCAGGTTGACCTCCTTGAGGGCGTGAATATGGCTCTTTGTCCAGCAAGCAACCAAGGTTAAGATCCCACGAGTTTATGCACTTTACAATGACCCTGAGTCGTTGACAAACTATATCATTATGGAATTTATTGAAGGCAACTCCCTAGACACTCAGTGGGCACACTTCACCAATTGCCAGAAGTGTGAAGTTGCTACAACACTCAGACAATACTTTGATGAACTACGCAACTCCCCTCACCAGGGTTCTTTGGTAGTATTGGATAAAAACATCTCCTTCATGGTATTTTCTGGACTCCACAACCTTCACCTTCCATCAATGGCCCTTTCGACTCTGAAGCTACACTGAATGAGGCTCTGGCTTTGAAATATATTGGAGAGTCTGAGCATCGTACCACCTACAATACTGATTTCTATCGTCGATCGCTATCGCATGTTTTCCGCGGCCATGTGCCGAAATTCACGCATGGAGACTTCCAGCGCAAGAACATTATGATTAAACAACTGCCCAATAACGCCAATAATAGCAAATATGAGGTGACTATCATAGACTGGGAAACAGCTGGATGGTACCCCAGCTACTAGGAATATTCCCTAGCAATGTGTGCGAGCAGATGGGATGATGATTGGGATGAATGGGTTGCCAAAATTCTACAACCCTTCGACGCCGAGTTCCCTTGGTTGAACATGTTGTATCTTGATTTATGGTCTCAATTTAATCAACATCAATGTCTTTTTCTGCTTTTCAAAATCAAGATGATACAATACTACCTGCTGAAGAGAAGTCCTTCTCAGCACTTTCTGTACAGTCCACCCAGCAAGGCCTTGCTCAACAGCGACCTGTGGAAATAGAGGGTTCCACTCCAGTAGCTTCAATAATGATGGCCGCTGCAGAACTTGAGCGTTGGTCAGCGCTTCTATAACCTTAGCAGTCCACTCTTGGCACCGGCGGAGAGGTTCATCGGGATACAGTATCTTCGGTCCATGGAATTGCTTCTTTGGCGGTAGCATATTCTGGCAGATAGTTATCATGTGTCACACTACGGAGTACTGATGTGCTCTTTGCTTACTAACGAAATCAATGCATCAGGCTTCCTTATGGTTTTGTCCTCGAAAGACATTCCATTTTGAATGTCACCTTTCACATGGAACAGGCAGCCGGTTTCAGGACCATCCTCACTAGTTTCGACGAATATTGTGTGATGGTTACGGGGGGCGCCGAGATTAGCAACACGATAGACTGCGTACGACATGCTTCGACTGAGAGGTAACCTAGAGACAAGGCGCATCAATTAGCCAACATAAACCATCTATAAGAGGAAGAAATGAAGATTCAGATGAGTGTTGCGAACCTAACTTTCTCAGACATATGTGGTTGGCGAAGGCCCAGAGAGGGATATATCTAATACTATGAAAACAAATTGGAGGAAGAATGAAATTTATTTCAATCTTTAGGGTGGAAGAAAGATTTTATACACATCATGCATCCTTCATTGCCCCATTTCAACTTTCCTGAGGAAGGAATGTTGTCTGATATTCGCAGACGCCATGAGAGCCAGTCATTCTACGCAAAATCCTCAAGTTCCGCTCAATCTCGCTGTCATGGCGTCTGGCCTTTTTTCTCTCCAGGGATGAGCCAACTGGACAGGTCGTACCTTTAGCGTAGCACGGTCTAGGCACAAGTATCAAGAAGAGAAAATGCGCGACCAAAATCGAAGCGAACTAAAACCCAAGTCATTGTGGTGCGCCTCATGTTGGATGATAATGCAAACTGGGCCCCTGAAATTAATTAGTAGCAAAACACTGCAAAAGATCCAAATATCCGTTTCTCTAGAATCATTCAAATACACATCTTTCATATCTTTATTATTAAGTGTGTCAATATGTCATCTCAACTCAGTGAATTTACTATTAATGAGATTGTATATCTTCTCAAGAATGTTTATATACCTACTGAAATTACCCAGAGTATTGATTATTATCTGATCACTATATTGAATTCAATGAAATCTTTACTGTTTGAAACTATTAGAAAATCTCATTCAATATATAATATAAAATTAAAGATTACACTGAATATTTGTCAGGATTGAAGATTTTTTTTGAAATATATTCAACTGTATATTATGATGAGACTGTCTGAGACGTGCGTCCAGGTGCATATTGCAAAAAGGATATAATCATGCCTAAGATAGGGGATGTTAGCCGAGGTTAGTTCTCCTGTGTGTATTCCAGCCCCTCTTCCTCCAGTGTTAACTGGTGGTGATTGAGCTCTTGTGCCCCAGTAGCTGACAAGGGGGGCGTACGCCCTCTGCTATATACGACGAATCCAGAGTCGCGATTGGGCGCCTTGTCTCTGGTGATCCCAAGAAACTTTCTGGAAGGAAGGTAAATAAAAGACAGATCTGGGGTGCAAGGGCCAGGTTATCAGGAAGGCAGAACTTGTCCCTGAAGCAGAACGGGACAAACCTGAAGGACCACTTGCCGGATTTCCGAGTCTCACGGTGGGTAAGAACGTCGTCGTGTTAGACAGCTCATACCATTGTCGGGCGTGTGATAGAGGGGAACATGAAAAAGCTTATGGGTCAACTAGTCGATGAAGATTGTGACATTATTGATAAAGTGGGAAGTGTCATTGGAAAAGCTGAGCGCTGGGAGCAAGAACAAAGGAAATGGGACATCAATCCAATGTCTGGGTGTAAAGTAAACAAAGAGGGAGAAGTGTGAGATGCAGAGGGCAACCTGATTGGAAAATTGACGGAGGGCAACCTGAATACCCTCTTTGGGATTTTTTTTGCCGCCACCGGGCCGACCTGTGTTTAAGATAAAAAAGGGGTTTTTTTCCCCCCCCCCCCCCCCCCAGGATTTCAGAGGACCATTAGTCAATGTAGCCCCCTTTACTGACAAAACACACACATATAGCACATGGAGAGAGCGGATAGAACAAATGTCAAGCCCCGAATCGAAGAAGGCAGTAGCCACCTTCAAGAATGCAACGGCACCCTCCGCTTGCTCGATCCAGACGGGCAGATGATAGCAGCCAAGGCGAAATCAAAGTCCGCACAGCGCGAAGCATCGCCAGAGGAACACCAGCTAGCGGATCTCCTGAAGGAACTCACGTCGACCGTCGCCACGACCATTGACAATGCACGGAAGCGGATTGCCGATATGCCCCACGCAAAGAAAAGGCTCAACCCGCTCTGGGCTCTGCTGAGCGAACCTCTCTTCCAGATCATTACTGCGGTTAACCTCCTCCTGACTGGTGTTCTTGGCTTGGTGGGCAGACTGCTCAATGGACTTGGACCTAGTGGCTGGTGAATGGACTCCTCGGCGGATTGGGTATCAATAAGCTTCTTGGTGAGTTGGGTCTGGGGTCTGTCACGGACGCTCTGAACCTTGGTGGTGACAAGAAGACGTAACAAGCGCTTTGAAAATGTGACCATGAGTCTTGTCTTTTTAGCAGTCTGTTATGTCCTCTGTACGTGTACATTTCGAGCTTCAATTCTGGTTTCCCTTGTTTGCGTTTGAGAAAAAATTGTAATTGTAAATATGTTTCTTCTGCTCATTTTGATATTTATGGGTTGCATTAATTGCAAGCCTCAAACATCTTACTTCATCGCGATCAATAAATAAGATTTCAGCTTGACCTGTGTCGTCAGAGGCTGGGGGATTCAAATCATCGAATTGATTTAATATGAGTAATAAAATAACAGACCTTTAATAGAAGAGTAAGTCACAGCAGTTTTGAACTTCTTCATGCCTCTGTTCAAGCTCAATGCACAGAAACTCAGCACTTCAATAGATGTGGTCGCTCCGACGCGGACACAACAGACATTGTTTTTAGTCTGTAGCAAAAATGAGGTTGATTCAAGAGGTTCATGATCAGTCAATTTGACTCCAACCAGCGAGTTTCTGTTTATGAAGCCAGGACACAGAACATATCATTGAGCTGTCGTTCTGAGAAGCGTGATAAGAAGGTTCTGAGGTATAACAGCACATATATATACGCTAGTTAACTACCTATTTTGGGTATAGTCAGCCCTTCTCGACCCCCAGGGGTCTGTTCGGTAATGACGTCATCAAATATTAACTAACTAGTTAGTTATTCTTCTCTCTTCATATGAACTTACTGAATATGATCCTAAGCACTCAATGATCTTATAGCCTATTTTCTATTGATTTCTTCCTTTCTCCCACCCTCTACACAGCAGGAATACCCCTCTCCCTTCCGCACCTCAATTCCCACATCGAAGCCCAATTCATCTCACCTGTTCAAAATGTCATAGTTAGGGGAGAAACTACCCCCTTTCAACGAGCTGCTTTACAGACAGAAAGTACCTGCTCGTGAACTCCCCACTACCCACCACCCAACCAGGGACGAGACCCCAATTCTGGTGTGATATGTTCCTGCGAAGCGAAAATCCTGACTGGTTTTAACACCTTGTCGAAGTGCAAAAAGCCATCCAGCATTGATGACTTGAGAGATCGGACTGAAGATTTCCTTAGCTGCATATGATCTTGTGCCTGGAGGGTAGACGGCCACACCTAGACAAGTTGTGACTCTTCATTCACCTATTTATTAATTAATTAAAGGATGCGATAAGTCGTACTTATCCATAGCCATACATACATACAAAATATAAAAAGGGACAGGGTACGACGGATGAGCGAGGAGAGGGAGGTGGGTTAATTAATTAGTTGACAAGGTGGAATAACAAAAACAAGTAAGTAGTATATGAAACGTTGCAAACCATTTGCTAGAAATGAATAAACAAAGGGGGTAGGTAGGTTACTTCAAGAAGGCTCGAAACCAGCAACAACGCAGCGCTTGGAAAAACAGAAAATAAAACATAAATTAGCACGCTGGAAGGAAAAAAGCGGACCACAAAAATATACGCCGCATGTGTAGTGATGTGGGGAGGTTGATATGTACGAAATGTACTTTCCGACTTTCCGAACAGAGTAAAGGAAGATAGGGGAGAGGAGAAGGGAACCATGGTATTGATTCGTGATAAAAAAGTCGAAGTTTCTTTCCTGCTTGTCTTCCATTTTCTTTAATCCCCCGGAACGAATCAATCCCTCTCTCTGGGCCTCCCCCCCACTTTCTTTCTTTTCTTTTTTTTTTTTTTTTTTTTCTCAGTTTACATCAACACCGAAAACCCCACGAGGAACCCAGCCACCACAACACCAACAGCATACACCTGCCCAACCTGCAGCGCAACGCTAAGTCCTGCAGCGCCACTGCCGGGCCTCGTAGCCGAATCCTCACCTAGGCCCGTATAGACGACATCATTGGTAGCGGTGCCAGTGGCGTCACCTGTGCTGGTGGCCGAGGGGGTGGTGGTGACGCGTCTGGGGCTCTGGGCGCCACAGGGGTTGTCTTCGCGACAGGAGGTTTGGCATCCGGAGTTGCCGTTGCAGTTGCGGACGCATTGGCTGTTGATTTCTGTACATATATAGTAGGGGAGTGTCTGGGAGAATTCAGAGGCATTGGGGGAGAGGCCGGAGCTGCAGACGCAGGAGAAGGTGAGGGTTTCCTGTGGTTTTGGTGGGTTAGTTTGTTGTTAGGGGGAAGAGAGAGGGGGGTTATGTTTTGGTACTGATGATAGTGTGAGAGACAGAATAATTGGTAAAAGGGGTCTCATACCGGGTCACAGTCGTTTGACTTGGGTTCACCATTTGTTCCCCTTTCTTGCAAGCAGATCAATGGGCAGGAGGAAACCTGGTCGAGGCACCACGCACCTGTATTGTAATATGAAATGTTAGATAGGGGTTTGTTTCACAAAATTGGCAGGCGGTTTGCTGCATAATTTTTGGGTTTTGTTTCAATAAAATGAACTCACTTCTTGTAGAGACGGGAATGGTCATGGGATCAATGGTCTGCGAGTTAACGACGCCAGAGATGGAGGAGAGAGCGAGGAGGATAGTGGGGAACAGCATATTTGCGTGTGTATGGGAATTTAATGGAGATTGCTGTAGATAGAGAGCTATGTAGGACAGAAATGACGAGCAGACGGAAGAAAGAGATAGTATTAAAAGCTATATACGACAGAACGAGAGACACGACGAAGAAGAAGAAGAAGAAGAAGATCAAGCGAGTGACAATTGGAAGGGAGAGACAGCAGAGACAAAGAAAGAGGAGAGAAAGAGAGAGCAGAGAGAAGGGAATAATAGTAACAGAAGAACTCCACAGCGGCAAAAAGTCATCAAGCAACATCGACAGCCTGCTGCACCCACCAAAAAGCACTAGACCCGCTCCAGCCAGTGAGTGTGCTGCGAATCTTGCTGTTGGGAGATCTGGCTGGTTTCGACGTGTCGAGCTAGACAGCGGCCGTTTTAGTAGAGCTTGGATGGATTCTGCAGGCCATTATCCCTCCTATCCTATTTATTCATCTGCATCGTCGTTCATAGCCATCGTGCTGTTTTGGCTATACCATCAAAATAATGGATGGCCATTCGCAGAACAGCCATATTTTTTAGCAGTGCATAAGATAATGCTCCTGGGAACCAAGGTTGCATCATCAATACCACAGCAGGGCAGACAAAGGCAGCAACAGTGGAGGACATCCAAGACACACAGCAACCTGTCCATGCGGAGTTGGGGGGGTCGAGAAGTGTTGCCCCCAGCGCAGAAGTGGTTCCCATGATGAAACGATGTCTCACAGCTTGCTTGATCTTCTGAGTCTAGCTGCAGCAACGGACCAGCTTGGCCGGGAGCTAGCTAGCTTGGACTCTTTTGAGGATCTTGAAGAAGTCAAGATTTAATATTATTGAGCTTGGAAAGGCGGCGATCGGAAGCCCTAAGCCGAGGTCCCAGCTAGTTACGGGAGCCTATAGGCTGCTGCTGTAAACAAGCCTGTAACGTAACGTAACAGCTCTTTTAATTCACCTCTCTAGATCGTTGCCCCTTCGGACTCATTTTAAGTGGCCTTTTTTGTTCGTGTGATGTTGCTTTTGCACGAAGCACTCATAACCAGACCCCTTCAAGCTGGCGCGTGCATCCCGACTCCTGAGGCCCCAATACCTATAACACTGTCTATAAAACCCGCTGTGCGGCCTGGTGCTGTACAGCGGGTTCTCAGTGTCTCTCTGTCTATAGTAAATACAATTATCCTACTCCCATCTTTCAGACTGTATTCTGTTTCCTCCCTAAGCACTTTGTTTACAATGGGTATTCTCCCGCGCAAAGCTCCAGTTAAAATGAGGCCTGGATACTGGATGGATATGATCAGCAAACCATCACAGCCAGTGAAGCCGGAGTTTGAAGAGTCTACCAAGCGTAGTTACCTTGGAAGTTACGAACAAGAATTTCGAGAAGTACTCCTACCTGATCCTAATTTCTTCATGGGAAGTTTGCTCATTATTACCAGGTTTGTGCAATGTCTGCAACCGGCCGATCCACGTTACTGGTTTGAGAATTTGACCATGAATGTTATCGAATACTATCTACGCTGGTATCTCGAAGGCCACAATGTTCGATCTTTGCTGGGCTTTCAGGTCAAAGTTCGATACTGGTGAATGTCCTATTGTTCTGAGCGAAACCGTGGCTCCTTTCCTTACGATCTCAAGCGTCAAACTAAGAGTGTATGTGTTCAGAACCTTGTACTTGTTGGAGCTAGGTTTACCATGATTGAAGTTGATCTGCGGAATGCTTAAGGAATATGATCTTACAGAGACAATCAAATTCCAACCATGTGTTAATGTGGATGATCTCCTCTATCATCTGCATTCTCTCTTGCCAGTTTGAAGGTCTTTTACATAACAAACCGGCAGAGAAGCCAACATGCAACACTGCAGAAGATGATGACTGCTACCAGTGCACATCCTGGGACCCTTGTTTGTAACACTGGTTACTGCAGAAAGGAAAAGGATGCACTTCGCTGGGGAGATATCGAGCTCTTCATGGTTATGGATCCCGAACGCCCTACCTGCAAGGTTCTTCTCATGCACGTAAAGCACCGACTCAACAAGGGCAAGAGGAACAATGGCAGAGCGTAGGTGCAATGATACTCTCCATCAACCTTCAGTGACTAACCCGTATCATACAGTCCGAGGTATATCTATATCGAGCGGAATGACAATCTGGGACTCTATGTGATCCAAGACATCCTAGAGTATGTGTTAGAGGACCAAGTCTTTGCCAGTGAATTTATTCAAGAGCCCCGAGACATCTGGTGCTACACCGATATACCAGCGCATCGGAAGAGTGTTCCCATTCATATCAAGGCGGAAAAGCATCATATACCAATATTTCGACGTGCGGCTCGAAATGGAAAAGGGAAGTGGATTACACATCCCACAGGGCCTCTGACATATGCACAACTCGCAGAAGATCATCATCGAGAGTGTAGAGCTGCAGGCGCTAAAGATACAGGTTCGCTGTACTTATGATGGAGAAAAGAAGCTGCCGCTGCATTCATTAGTAAGACCCATACCAACCATTTCTGTAAACTTGACCCCAGGGCCACGTACTCAGATCATGGGCCAGGCTAAGAGCAGCATTTTCATGGCATACCCCAATGAGTTGGTGAACTGTGACACCCAGTCTGTTTTTTTGGGAACCCCAACCAGAGACACCCTGATTGCCGTTTCTACCAACTCTAGCCTCACTCATGATCCATCTGCGCCATAGAGCCTGACTCGCGAACAACTGCAGTGTGTCGAGAATGATATAGAGTTAATGAAGTTAGAAAATACTCATGTGGCCTTTTGGGAGGATCTGATTTTGGAGTATGGCAAGATCAGCAAGGTGACAGACCCGGCCAAATGTGACAGATATTGACAACTTGGCAATGGTGCGAGCTGAATGCAAGAAGCTCCAGAGTCAGGTCGATAAAGAGGCATACAAACAATTTTTTGACAATGTGGGTAACGCCATCATTGAGAATAACTATCACGGACAGGCCACCACATTTGAACCCGATACCTCTTCTCTCTTGTTCGAGTGAAAAGCTCTGGCCGCCCTTGACTTTAAGAACCGAGATGTCAGCATCGTTCCTGATGAGGAGTGTGTGGAAGATCGCATGCTGTCTCTTGAGCTTCGTCTCGCTCTGAACCGCCTCACTGTGCCCAGGCACCTGGCCCGGAGAGTTAAACCGGAGGTCCCAGCCCAAGATATTTTGTCTGACTTCCCAACTCAGGCTCCTACTAGTTTAGAGTGCCCTGAGTGCCTGGGTGACGACAGGTATCCCGAAGCACGGGAGTTCAGCTATTGCAACATGTATGTCCTGCGAGACCCCTGGAGACGCAGCATGTGGAACGGATGGACTTTTCCGAACCGGTCACCTGCGGCTGTCCAAATTGCGTAGCACTTTTGGCTACTCCAATGCAGTATTACCACCATGTTACGACGGTACATGGAACTAAACTCCGAAAAAGTGGATGGGCACCTAAAATTAAAGCCCAGTTGGCCTTCAATGCCTCTTTGCTCAGCACAGCTGATGCAGGCATCAATTCATCTGGATAATGAAGGGAATTGAAGCGGAGAGAGTTAAGTTTGAACTTACACTCGAGAGCACAGTAAAAGGCATTGTACTCCGTGATGCTTCTTCCATGGTAGTATTAGGGATTTCCAAATTTAGTGTCACCAATGCCGTCATTGGGCCTAGGAGGCGGCATCACGAGGGGTTCAAGCGGGTAGGCCCGCTGCATAGGTTGCCCGTAACATTCGGGGTAGGCTTCAACAGGTTGAGGGTACCCAGGGTATGCGGGCTGGGGTCCCGGCGGCAGAGCGCTGTGGGTAAGGAGCGTGTTTATCTACATGGTGGAATCCCCTGATAGATCTGGTAGATCTGGTAGACGTTGTCTATCAGTCATACCAATCTATCATCATTTTTCTTATTATTTTCCCTCCTTTCTCTTCCATGCTCCTTAGTCCACCGAAAAATAGGGCTTCACATCTAGCTAAAAACCCTCAAAAAGTTGTCTGTTATGGCCAAGCCGAAGAGAAAATATATTGTTCAGCCTATCTAAAGATGCCAAAATACAATACAGTAAAAGTGAGAAAAGAAAGAAAGACGTAATGAAGAAGCGAGTCAGAGCTTCTATAAGAGTTGAACATAGCAATGAGTAGACTAGCTGATTCGCGGCACTGCAAAGTGTGAATGCAACAGCAAACTGAAAACAGCGGTGTCTCTACCACAGCCTATTAGTGACATTTGAGTCAAATGAGTATTTTTGATGTTTTTTATACTAGTGTTACTATGTACATGCATCAATCATATTCAATTTGTAATCAAACAGAGCTTATTAATTAAAAATTTACAGAGTACTCTGTGTTGACCCTTACGGCCGTTGCGGTTAGCAATCTCACTAGATCATGTGACCCACCACTATATTATGTTCCTGTAGATAGATCTATCAATACAATCTTCAACTATTTCACAGATTATAGTCTGAATGACATGTTTTTCTTTTTAAAATGTTGTACCAACATTTTTGACACAGATAGTTCATCTTTTTTGAAAAGACTCTTACTCTTTATTAGAGATATTTCATTTTCTCTGAATCTGTCAGTCAGCAGATTCATATCTTTATATTTTTAAGAAAGTGTGTTCTTCATTGTGAAGAATATCACTTTTTTATTTTTTTATATATCTAGAAGAAGCAGAGTTATCTCAATATAAGTGATACATCTGTTACTTCAGAGTTCAGCTCAAGACTCAGAATCACATACTTCACTAGATAACTTATTAATAGAATGATCACTCATTATAAGAAAGCTTCTGACTTGCAAGATAAAACTAAGATCAGTTTTCATCAGAGTATGAAATTTGATAATAATAAGATAATAAAGAAACTTCAGAATAAAGAAAAGCAGAGTTAACATCTATCTGCAGAATCTGTTTATTTCAATTCTTCAAATTCTTCACTGTTTCTCATTTCTGAAATACTAACTTTTAATAATGATCTGAATCAATCTATCTATTACACTGCAGGCAATCTTATGAATCTTATACAGATAATACTACAGAATTAGATAACTGTAACTGAAATCACTTAACATCTTACTACATCTGTCTCTACACAAAGAGACACTATGAGAGATGAGTTATAAGAATATCAGAAGAAAGTTAAATATACACTAAATATTAAATCAGTGATCACATTTGATAACTCTAATTATAAAGTCTGATATATTAATATATTAGCTGATATGAAAGTTATTAATGAAACTGATATTCTATTAAGAACTCAATGAGAATTCTCTTTTATATATCATATTAATTCTGAGAAGTGAAGAATTTGTTTTAAGTCTCTATATAGATGTATACTATTGAGTCTTGTTGAAAATGTTTAAATCACTATTAAAATCTTGAAAGCTGATAATACTGCAGCTCTGTGAGATAAGATTAATATTAAATATATAATATCACTGATAGAAGAATGAGTTAATATCTTTAAGAAATTGATAAAATTATAAGTTAAGAAAAATGATTATCTTACTTTTCAGAGATATTTTCACTATCTTATTACTTATTATAAGAAGCTCTGTCAGAGTACTGAGAATGTATATTATGATCTTTTTCTCAACAATCTACAAGATTATCAAAGACTGTTTATCAAGATATATTTGAATAAGTTTTTCTTCACTAGTCAGAGACTCATTGTCAACATTGATATCAATGATTTGATGAAGTAACTGATTAATTATACATTTAAGAAGATCATCACTGAGTAGAAAAAGCAGTCTCAGACTGATTCTGTGACTGTGAAGAAGAACAAGAACAAAGATAAGAATAAAGATAAGAATAAAGATAAGAATAAAAGCATATCTGTATGAAAGTGCACTTACTGCAGAAGATATGAATATACTGTTGACAGATGTTTCATCTTACACTCTGATAAAAAAGAAAAAGAAGGATGATAAGAAGAAAGAGAAGAAGAATGACTTGATAAGTTCTCAATCAGCAGCAAATGCAGTAATTACAAAGATTGAGTTCTATTTCTCTTTCACAGTCATCAGAAAATCATTCTCTAGATCTTGATATTTGAACACATGTGTAAGCCTGAATATGACAGATGAGCTTCATTCTTTTTCAAATATCAAATCTTTTAATAATAACATCTCTGTTAATTCTGCCACTGAGAGAACTGAGTTTGTCAAGAAGATTAAAACTGTCATCTTGAAGATTGAGAGTGATGATATTAACTTGCAGAATGTTCACTATATCTCTAATATTACAGTTAACCTGCTCTCATTTATAAAGCTTGAAGATCAGAGATTTCAATTTACATTGTCTTTCACTATTCTCTCATTTTTCATTTGCAGAGCCCTGAATAGCATTATTTTTCATACAGTTCAGACTGCTCAGAACAACATATATAAGATTAATAAATGAGAGTTCAATGAGAATCTCAATCATTCAAACAAGACAGTCAAGTATATTACAATGTCACATGAGTACAATTTTGACTGAAAAGTTAATCTTTCTGTGACTGCTGTCACTACTGTTAATAATATCAATTCTGCAGACATGAGAACACAGACATTAAAGATATCAAAGACTCTTTTGAATTAATATTATAATCTCAGTCACATTCACACTGATGCTATAATTACTATGGCTAAGAATTCTCATACTGAAGTCATAATTAAAGATTCTAAGACTAAGTTCTTTTGTGAGAAATGTGTCAAGACAGGTATGACATGAGATTATTTGAAAACACTGATATCTAGATCTATTTAACTCATTGAGAAGATTTATATTGATCTTACAGATGATGAATATATATTGAAAGATCTCTCTGATCACTTCTTAGAGTCTCATCAGAAAATCAGATACTGAATGCTTATTATCTGTGACATAACTTGCTATTATTGAGTATATTTTTTAAAGTTCAAGAATGAGACTGTTCAATACTTTGAGTTGTGGCTCAGATTCATGAATAATCTTGAGTATACAGTTCCTGCTTTTCTATGAACTGATATTGATGATGTTTTCCAATTCACACATATGCACACAATTATGAATTCATATGATATTAAATGAGAATTAACAGCACTACATTTATCACATCAGAATGATGTTTCTGAATGTGAAATCTGCACTATTATGAGACAGATTAGAGCTGCTCTTTTAAAAGATAATCTCTCTAAGAAGTTCTGAACAGATGTTCTAGAGACAGTGATTGTAATAATCAATAATACTCTTATATCTAGACTGACCATGTGACCGTGTCTGAGACCAGAATCAAACTTTACAGTTGTTACATTGTCTAAAAGCATTACTTCTGATCATGATTTGTATTCATCACATTGATTTCAAATCTCATTATTTCAAATATTAAAGATCTCAGATTCACTTTTCAAATAAAAATCTAGTCTCAGATAAAGAATATATTTGAATTCTTAGTCACATTTTCATTCTGATCTCATTATTGAAAATGGCACTAAATGAGACTATGAAATCATTTCTCACTTACATAATATCATAACATAGTACTCATTTGTTGAAAATTTAACAGAGAGTGTTATTAAATATCATTACTTTTCTGAACACAGATCATAATTAATATCATTTTAATTAAAAAAAAAATGTAAAATACAAAAAATAACAAAAAAATAAAAAACAAAACAACAAGAAAAAATCACAATAAAAAAAAAAAAAAGAGAAAGAAAAAAAGAAGAGAAAGAAAAATTAAAAAAAAAAAGAAAAGAAAAAGAAAAAAACAAAAAATAAAAACAAAAAAAAATCAAGATCACAGAGTCACAGCATTCTTAAAATACTTACTTCTCAGAGTCTTTACAATGTTCATTATCAATCATGTATTTCTCACAGTGAGAGTAACACAGCTGTGATAAGTTATTATCTTAACATCATCTAATAAATATTCAGTATATATCTATATAAATGTGATTAATTAGAAATATACACTTAAAAGTGTGGCCAGAATGAACTCTGCTGCTACTTGAATGACATCAAGAACAGAATGCTGAAATTGATAATTCTTCTCATCAATTTCACAGACAAGACATGCAAAGATGATCTTGAGAAATATAAGATTCTCTGACTTCTGATAGAAATGAATCTTACAGAGAGACTCTATTTTCATCATATCAGAGACTGAGTGTTATTAAAAAGCATTACTTCAATACACATGCACTTACTATGATAATTCACTCTCTACACATGTGGCTGAGAGTTGCAGCTTTCTCACATCACACAGCTCTCTCTGAGATGCTGCTGCTGGTTTGCAACTTATACAGTCTTTCAGTTCAGCATGTGCTGCGCATATGCAGCTCTGTGTGCTGAGGCTGTGTTGATTATTATGACCTGATGTGATACTCGCTTTTCACAGGCCATGTTTCATTTGATTGAAGAAGAGAGAGGGATGCAACTGCTGTTTTATTTGAGAGAGAATGAATAATTGAATCTGTAGAAGATAATTTGATTTCTTCTGTATTTGAAATTTGATTAGTCTATACTCTTCAATTTAAGAGTTTCTGAGAGTGTTTTAATAGTTTTCATACCAGCTTGAAATTAGTGATTGATTAAAGAAGAGAAAAGAGAGAAGAAAGAAATAAGAATAACTTATCTTTATAATATGAAAACAGAGAATTGCTGCAATCATTTACTCTAGCAACAAAGATCTGTTTTCTGCATGTATCTCTGATACAGATTATATAATAACTGCATACAAAGAATATCAACAGTGCATGTATTAAATGAAGATAATGTTGCTATACAATACTGTAGCTGTTTCTGTATATTACTGAAAGCTGTTAATATTTTCTTTAAGTCTCTTTATATTTGATAAGTCAGTAATATATTTCA